AAGTGCGAGAGAAAATTTGACAATAAATCAACTTTACTCAAGCACAATAAGATATTCCACGAAGTTTTCAAAGATTACTTATGCGAAAGGTGCGCTAAGAGATTTGGAAATAAACGGAGTTTGCTCTTGCACATAAAGACAGTACACGACGGTTACAAAGATTTCGCCTCAAAAGTCTTCGAAGATTACTTATGTGACAATTGCGGGAAAACGTATGGAAGTAAATCAGATTTGTTGAAGCACCAAAAAACAGTCCATGAAGGTCGTAAAGATTACCCATGCGATAATTGTGAGAAGAAATTTGGACGAAAATCGAATTTGGTCGTACACAAAAAAACCGTCCACGATGGTCGAAAAGATTACGCATGCGACAAGTGTGAGAAAAACTTTAAAAAAAAATCGGATTTGTTGAAGCATCAAAGGACAGTACATGAAGGTTGCAAAGATTACGCATGCGACGATTGCGGGAAGAATTTTGGAAGTAAAAATTATTGGCTCTTGCACACAAAAACAGTCCACGAAGGTCATAAAGATCACGTATGCGACCGGTGCGACAGGAAATTTGGAACTAAACCCAATTTGTTGAAACACCAAAGGATAATCCATGAAGGTCGTAAAGATTACTCATGTGACAATTGCGGGAAGAAATTTAGAAACAATTCGAGTTTGCGCTTGCACATAACGATTGTCCATGAAGGTTGCCAAGATTACGCATGCAACAAGTGCCAGCAGAAATTTGGACAGAAACAGCATTTGATCCATCATCAAAAGATAATACACAAAAGTCTGAGAGATTTCAAATGCGACAATTGCGAGAAAACGTATAGAAGTAAATCAGATTTGTTGAAGCACCAAAAAACAGTCCATGAAGGTCGTAAAGATTACCCATGCGATAAGTGTGAGAAGAAATTTGGACAAAAATCGTGTTTGATCGTCCACCTAAAGATAGTACATGAGGGTCGCAAAGACTATGCATGCGACAAATGTGAGAAGAAGTTTGGACAAAAACCGCATTTGCTTTCGCACCAAAAGGCAGTACACGAAAATCAAAAAGATTACGCATGTGACAAATGCGAGAAGAAATTTGGGGAACAAAGCAATTTGAAAAGACATCAAAAGACAGTTCACGAAGGTCGCAAAGATTTCGCATGTGCCAATTGTGAAAGGAAATTTGGAGATAAACAGCAATTGCTCAGACACCAAAGTATAGTCCACGAGGGTCGCAAAGATTTCTCTTGTGACAATTGCGATCAGAAATTTGGACGCAAATATTATTTGCTTGATCACCAAAAGACGGTACACGAGGGTCGCAAAGATTTTGCATGCGACAGATGCGATAAGAAATTTGGACAAAAATCAAATTTGCTCTTACACCAAAGGACAGTACACGAAGGTCGCAAAGATTTCGCATGTGACAAGTGTGAGAAAAAATTTCGACGAAAATCAGATTTGTTGAAGCACCAAAGGACAGTCCACTAAAGTGATAACAATCAAGTATGTGTGATAGCTGCCAGCAGAAATAATGATTGACAATTGTAAATATGGCCGATTCTCTGTGAAATCGAATGGCCAAAAAATTTTTTTTTCTGCAAATATGAAAAACTTGCTGTTCCCGATGTCAGAAATGTCCCCAAATTTTATTAGAATTTTTGGGACCATCTATCACTCTTTTTCAGGGGCCCGAAGTTGGCCATTTTAGGGTTTTTTTGAAATTCATGAAAAATCACAAATATTAAAATAATTCCTGGATTAAAGTAGAATGATTCAAAAGTAAAAGTGCCCAGCAACTTTTTTGTTGGAAATTGTCCAAATTTTCAGAAAAAAAATATGCCAAAGTGATTGGAACAATCTAGGTAAATGTAAAGCAAAAAAACTGCAAAAAAAACATAAAACAAGAAATCTACTCGAGTTCGAACCGGACTTTCATTTCCTAAACTATGTAAAAAGCTTCCCAAAGATGTCAACTAATGCCTGATAAAGTTTTGTAATGGGTCTTAAAGTTTAACGCAATGTAGACAACAATGTGTGGCGAAAAACATGCAAAAAAGGTCAAAAATAGGCCCAAAATGCCTAAAATCACCAAAAACAGCCATTTTCAGGCCTTTTTTGCATGTTTTTCGCCACACATTGTTGTCTACATTGCGTTAAACTTTAAGACCCATTACAAAACTTTATCAGGCATTAGTTGACATCTTTGGGAAGCTTTTTACATAGTTTAGGAAATGAAAGTCCGGTTCGAACTCGAGTAGATTTCTTGTTTTATGTTTTTTTTTCATGTTTTCCCACTATTATGTATTTAGGTGGCTCCAATCACTTTGGCATATTTTTTTTCTGAAAATTTGGACAATTTCCAACAAAAAAGTTGCTGGGCACTTTTACTTTTGAATCATTCTACTTTAATCCAGGAATTATTTTAATATTTGTGATTTTTCATGAATTTCAAAAAAACCCTAAAATGGCCAACTTCGGGCCCCTGAAAAAGAGTGATAGATGGTCCCAAAAATTCTAATAAAATTTGGGGACATTTCTGACATCGGGAACAGCAAGTTTTTCATATTTGCAGAAAAAAAAATTTTTTTGGCCATTCGATTTCACAGAGAATCGGCCATATTTATAAATGCTCACGCATTTATGTTTTTCTAAAATTTCAATAAAAAATTTACTGAAATGATTACATCTTACCTGAACCTGGGACGTTAAACTATCATCCCACCTTTGTACACTGACTTTGTGAATCACTATTTTTTTTTCATATCTTGATCACTTGATCCCTGTAGCTCTTCATGCAACGATCAGACAAGAATTTTTCTCGCATCTAATTGTTTGAAACTGTGAATGGGACGATCACTTAGTTGGCAACTGCATTTTTGATAAAACTCGCGAAATGACACGAATTTGTAACAATTTTTAATAAATTTGCTGACAAACTGATTAAACTTGCTACGAAAGACATCGGTAATACCGATATATTTCTATCTAAAAAACGAAGGTAGAAATCATTTAATGATTTAATTCAAACTAAAAAATGTTTTTGTAAATTTCTCCAAAATTCGTAAAAGCTCTCATAATTGTTTTCAAATTGCGTGAGCAGCAAATGACAGTTTGTGTGGGAGCGGTACTTTTTCTAATCCACCACAGAATTCAAGTATTAGATCGAAGAAATAGCAGTAGCCCATGCGTTATGAAACTTGACCTGACTCAAATTTTGATACAATATGTAATACGAATGAAGATGCGACTATAGCTGTATACGCATTGCACTTGAGATCATGCGCAAGAAATTCGGAACAGCAGTGAGCAGCTGCAGATGGCTATTAACTTTAAAAAAGAAACAATAATAATACGGCACGATGAGCAATCTGGAAAGTATACAATATCTCACGAGCGAGCTAGTTTCAGAGTTCAGCTGCGTGATTGTTACAGCCATTGCCATTACAAACAGAATTGAAAACGATCGCTTTGGAGTTGAAAAAAAAAAACGACGCCGCAATGGTGAACGTAAACGCGAAGGCGATACACCGATGTGTATAATAATTTGCACGACGTACAATCGCGAGTAATTGCGTGCACACGTGTTGTAGCAGCGGCAGCTGTTCTGGCACGCGATGATCAGTGCGTTGATCGGCACGCGATACCACAAAAATCTATTCGCGTGGCAATCTGCGAAATGTACGATACAAATGTATAAATGGTGGGCATTAAACGTTCCAATGTTTTCCGCTTCTCTCTACCTTTCTCTCTCACTTCCTCTCGTGTGCTGTAATGGAATACGTTTATATAGAGCAGACGCTAACTTGATCTTATGCGCTGCAAGCTCGATCAGAATTGACGAGTACCGTATGATCGCGTGTGCCGCTTTAAGCCTAGGTTTACGCAGTCTCGAGCTTTTATGATGCGCCCTTAAAAGATACACGCGCACTGCTATAGACCAAGATCATCGACGCCATGCATTTCTCCATTGCTGTATATATAATATCTCGAGTGGATAGGCGATTTTTGCGATCCGAGCCGAGACCTGCGGTTCGAACAATTTTTAGTTTTCGCTTCTCTAATCGAATAGACTTTTTCGAGAACTTTTCGCGATTTTAAAAAATAATATCAGCTTTTTCGATGAGATTATTGCCGTACCCAGCAGGTGAGTGGATGACTATTGCTAAGAACAAAACTTGGCGTCAATTACAATAGTGAATAGGCACTCGATAAAATTGAAAACCAAGTCATCTGTGTCAACGACTTCTTGTCTAGACCGTATACGTTTAAATACGAAGCCGGTCAAGACTTTCATAATTTATTTTTTTCTTTCGAGTTAACAACCATTGTAATATGAATGGCTCTATTTTCTCTGGCATTTGAATGTGCAAAGATTTCATCGAAAACAAACGAACACGATAGTTATATATATATATGCGACGTGCCAGCGATGAAAAAGTTACGTATATCATTTGTGAGATTAATAAAAAAAGAATGAATGAAGCTAATCTTTCTCACTTTCGCGTACCAAAGCCTTGCTTCTTGGAATATTTTACAATGAAAAATTGTGATCGAGCATATGCGAATCATACAGCTGACACATCTCATGGTTTATTATAACCACTCCACGCCAACTTGAGTGGATAATGTAAAACTGAATGCATCGAGTTTGAATCTCGCGTAATACTCTTGAAATTTTATAACTCGAAAGTCTCTGAGTTCATGTATCATGTTCAATAATTTTTTTATTAAATAGAAGTCTTCAAAACACATTGCTCCAATCTTACTAATTATTAGGGGACATAACAATATTGATTTTATGTTAAAAATATATTGATAAAAATTCTTCATATGAATAGAATAATTTTGATTAATGAAATTATACAGACAATTTTTTATACTCTTAACTTTCATACTTTTGAACACTTTTGTCACGCGATTCTTATAGCAATTTTAGACCGATTTTTATTATTTTAATCACATGCTATGATTTAAGTTACTTGATGATTCAAAAAGATGACGAATATTGATACTTGCGTCTTATATAAAATTTTTTATTGTGTATTAACAATTCTCATCTGTGTACTACATTTGGTTTAACAATGATTTAAAATTTCAAAAAATGTCAGATTACACCATTGGTGCATCAGTTTAATAATAGAAATTATGATAAGCATTAATTGGCTATAAATTTTCATCGATTCTGTTGCAGCGATCGGATCAAGTCGAGCATGAACGGGTCGGCATAACGTTTCATCTGGTCCTCGAGCTCCTCCATGTGCGACACGGTAAAATCGATCGCTCGTTTCTTCAGTTTCTCCGCCTGGTGCTGGTAAGCGAAGCTCAGTATCTCCAGGACGCTCTCGATCGATAAATGGTCGCACAAAATTTCTTCGCACTCGTAGCGCAACGCGTCGAGCTTCAACTGGACGGCGGCCGCGAACAGCTTGCAGACCATGTCGGGGTTGTTCACGATCTCGTCTCGAATGTCACCTGTATAGACGAATTGCAACACGTCCATGAGGACATCGTGATAGATATCGTTCACGAAGACTACGTCTACGCCCTTTCCGGCTTCCACCAAGTATTTGAACACCGGACTGGCGGTGGCGAGCACGACTCTATGTCCCGGAACGGGTGCTCCGTCGATGCCGCATATCTGCATGTCGCTAAATTCTTCGTTGCGAAAGAGCCAGTCGTGAGTGGGCATAGTTTTTACCTCTTCGTGAAATTCGTCGCGAGATTCGATCGGTTCGGCCCTTGTAAACACTTGGAATTCCGTCGCAACCGTCAAGTCGCAAATTATTGTTAACTTATTGGAAGGCGAGATCGATTCGTGAACCGCTATGGCTCTGATGTATTTCGACCAACCCCAGTTACGTTGTTTTGGCTCCAGTCTTCTCAAAAATCGGTCGTTGCTAAATACCGATTGGCCATTCGTTAATGATATTTTACACTCTATAGCTACTTCCTCGGTTGTATCACATTCCAAAAATAAGGAAATGTAGCCACTGTCGTCTTTTCTGTATCCACCTGGATAACAAGTCAACCAGTATTGTCTTTTGATGTCACCTTCGACTCTGAATTTCGGAGACATAATCGGCTCTCCGGTTTCTGCTTTCATCCAATTAAAATCGTTTATTATCCACGTGAACTGACTCCTTTCTTTTTTAACTCGTGTGTAACCCACTAATTTATTGACAGTTGCCATTTTTAAAATTTAGAAGTATATTTCAAAATACTTGGCTTGGTATAGTTTACTCCTGTCAGACTCGCCTCACAATCAACTGACTAATCTCGTACAAGAGATGTTATGAAAATGATGATCATGAATTGACACTGTTACACGGGCTTATGGTCTTCTAAATACGTTGATACAACCCAAGCAAATTAAGTTTACTGTGTACGAAATATTTAACAACACATGACAATATTTACATGAGAATTATGATGTATAGCATGTCGTGTAATTCACAATTCACATGTGGATTGTTTCAAAATAAGAAATATAGTTTATTTGAAAAAATTTCTTTTATATTTGAACTTGGACATAGTTTTTATCATAAAGATATAACATCAAACTGAAAAAATTCATGATACACGAATAAAAAAAATGAAATAAAATCAGTGTCTCGTAATTTTACAGTGTATATAATTAAAGATGAATTTCATGCTTATTTCGCTGTGTGTTATTGCTATATGGTTTTTGAGAACATTTTTGTTGCCAACGGGACATGTATCACACTTGTACGGCTTAAGATTATTGTGCACCTAATCAATGATCATTTGTTCCGATTTTATGTTCACAGACTAACTCTTTTGTAATTATTTTCATTTTCCTGAGCTCACAATCGATCAGATGACGAATAAAACGACTTCTAATGATTTTTTAGAGATTTTTTAGAGAGGATAATTTCGATATAATGTCACAGTAAATAGTTATAAATAGCACCTTCCAAATTGTGTTCCGGAAAGGATTTTGAATTTAAAACCTGATGATTCTAAGGTTTGTGGAACGCTTTGAAAATTATACTGATGTTGCGAAGTATTTTTCAAATATTTGTAACACATTTTAACAATCAATTGTTCACAGGTAAACTAACTTTTACATGGAACTTGTACACTTTATAAAAGCTGTGTTGAATGTATATGATATTGAACATTAGTTTTCATGAGACTTGAAATGAACGATCGTAATTATGTATGTGAGGAAAGTTTACGCTTTGACTTTTATGGCAAACTTTTCAATTGGAGGATGGTCTGCTTTTCAATTGTTCACTTTCAATTGTTTGTTCATTCTCGATTTAAAACTTGAATGCTCGAATTTTTCTGAGCGCAAGCATTTTTTCGAACAAGCAAGGCGTGTCGTGTCGTCTTCGACCACTACGAGTTCGAAGATACTTAATATATTTTTATTTGAACTTTCAAGTGAAACTGAAAGAAAAAGGATTTCTGCACACTTCCTTTGAATGTGTGCGTCGTTACAAGTCGCGTAAATTATGCAATGAAAAATCAGACCGAGAAACGCAAGTGGCCAATGCATTGCGTGCTAGGGCGACTGTGCGGCTGGCAATTTGAGCGTCCAGCACTGAGCGCGGTTTTCGATTTAAAAAGGTCTCTAATGAGTGGGTTTTTACGATTTAGTCCGACCGCGCGTTCGGCCTCGCTTATTATGCCATACTCTGCTAAAATATTACGTAGGTCCAATCGAACGGTTCTTTTTTTTTAGTTCTACTCACACACATAATGTATCTCAATATGTATCAAGGCTCCTTTTTACGAGTTAGTCCAAAAGGCGCGTGTTTGTAGCGCGATACGTTTTTTGCGGATAGATTTGAGCTAAATGTTTTGCATGTATTTTTATCGAGAGATTTTCGGTAATATTTATGTATACATAATTGTACGAGCGCTGGTGAGCGCAAACTCAATTAATACCTCGACTGTGGCTTGCATGATGAATGACATCAATTTTTCCACTCGGCTCTTAATCGACACGATCATCCCGCATTTGTATAAAGGCTCAGACGCACACAAAATGTACTATTCGAATTGGAGTTTTCGAGTCACGATTCAAGACGCCATCGGATACAAATTATAAAATTGTTGTACGCATATAATAGCAGATCAGAGCACGTGTCTTTAATAATATCGACCGGCGCCTTTATGAAGATTTATAATTTCGAACAAAAAATAAGCTGATGTGAGTCAAAAAAATGGGAAGTAATCGAGCGCGGGGGCATTTGAAGTTGTAATATCGAGTCTCGTCTCGCGTACACTCATATACACGTTGATTTTTATATTTATAAATATCAAAAGTCAAAACGAGGCTCAAGTGCCGTGGATTAATAATAAGTCCGAGGTCTCCTGAGAGCTCGAGGAATAACGATTGAAAGCTGTGACGCCTCGTGTTGTATGTATGCGCGCCGATCAGATATATAATATGTCATTTATTTCGCACCATCACGCGCCATGCGCAAAAGGGACTCGGCACGGGCTTATTCATATTATGGTTTATATAAGCGTGAATTGCCATTGTCCATTAAAAAACTTTTATAATGTACGCGGCTCCCCTTCGTTTTTTGCCCGCACACATACACTCACGTATGTACAGTGTATGCACGCGTGCATCCAACGACGACCAACAGCTATAAAGAAGAAAAATGTATTCACGCGTAAGTCTTGTTTCTGCGCGTCGCGACTGCGAGAAGAGACACAGAGCTACAGAGATGCTCATTGAAAAGGAGAAAAATAAATTTTTTTCTCTCCAAAGTTCAAATGCGACACGTATTAATATATGGCCTGTATTCAACGACTGTCCGACGAGTATTTTATAAAAACCTCGTCATCGTAGCGCACTGTGCTTAGCGTGACGAATTCGGTGGACTCATTTTTCTACATCGTGTGCCCGGTGCGATGAATAATTTTTTCAACGCGAAACATTGTCGAAAGTGAATCTTGGATGATTTTTCATGGCGCTTGGCTATACGAAAGTACGCGAAACATTTTTATACACATATATATCGCCGTCGCAATGGCGCTGAAACAGTCTGTGACTGATTTTTTATTATTCATTTTTATTATTTTATTTTTTTCATTCATGCCAATCGCGATCGTAATTGTAAAGCGCTTTTCCATACGTGCCCAGCATGTGATCGCGACACAGCAAGCCCGAAGAAACTCGAGATCGAGCGGACTCGCGGAAAAACCGGTATTAATCGGTTGACGAATGCATTTATGTGTGCCTTACGAGATCGAGTCACGATTCTCGACAGATAGAGCGTTTAACTGCCAGTCGTGAGCAAAAAGTCGCGTCTATCCAATTGTGGCTCTTATTTTGATCCCTGTTTATGTTTTTCATGTTACAACTATTTGACGCAGTCGTATACGAAAGACTAAACGATTATTTATAATCATAAGCTAACTGTACACGTTGAAATACAAGCGAGATTAATCAGAAATCGGCATATAAACGTACGCATCATATATATCGTACTAATATAGGTGTATTTGCATTTGCATGGAGATGATTTCGGCAGGTGCCTTTCAAAAATGTTTCGCTTACAAAACCCGGGGCGAATACAATCACGAGGCCAATTTTTGATTCGTGTAAAAACATAATGATACAACCACGGCTACGGATGGAGCCAAGCATTCATGTGTACGTATGCGTATTATAAAGCACGAGACACGACGAAATGCGTATATATGCCATTTAAACGCGACGTAAATTATATACGCGTAGCCGTTGCTATATAAGATCTTTCAATGGTTTGACTTTTCAGAAAAGGTATTGAATGTTTTTTCAGCGGCTCGCGGCATTGTCCGCCTCATAAATCGGCTTTTCGACGCGCCACGGTGTACTGCACGTATACACAAGCGTGGCCGGTTTTTCGTTGATTTTCATGAGAAGTCGTATCGATTCGACATTTTTTTCGTGCAAAACAACAACAGCGACGACGACGACGACGACGACGACGATGACGACAAAAAACCTAACGTCCTCCGTATAGCTCATGCTCGATGCATCGACAATTTGTACGTTAAAAGCTCGGAACGGGACTGCGATACAATTTGTCCGCGTCCAGTCGGCCAATGGCAGTCCTTGCGCGTCGAGCTCGCTCGACTCGTGCCTGGACTCTCTGATCGATCGAAGAAGAAAAATAAGCCGCCGGCGTGCTCACATCGACATTTACATCGATTGGCCTCGCCATACAACCGATCTCGCTACGAGCCGAAACAATATCGCTTCGTTGCCAATTGTGCGCGCGTTAGATAATTTATTTATTAGGAATGCCTGCGCCGCGGCCAACTGCATACCGCGCGAGTAACTCGCGCAAATACAAATGCGACACGCGCGGAATGCCACTTTTACATATCCATACAATAGGACGCTAATCGAAACACGAGTACAGGAGAACGCTACATCGTATATATTCGCTATGCGCATACGCACGATCGGTATGTATGTATGTGGGCATTGTAACACATGTATCGCGCGCATTGTTATACGCGCTGCTTCAGCGTGACCGACTGCAGCCGAGAGATTCCTTCGGAATGACGAAAATATTTATCTCTCCGCGCTGCATGTGTAATGTGTACTCGCGCAAAGGCTCGATCGGTAATTATACATTACACGCTTCGACGTTCGAGCGATCATTTTTCCTCGACTCCTTTTTTCGTCGTTATTATTATTTATACGCTTGCGTTTATTTGACGGCATATTGCCGCGTCTAAGGATAAAGCGTATACTTATAGTAAGACTTCCTGAATGAATATTATATCCATTTATTTTCGTCAGCTTCCAAAGGCCTGCGCACATCTCGTCGTAGCTCGTGTGCATCTGATGCATAATTAAATAAATATATTCCTACGTACATACGTGTACAGCGACATATATGGAACATCCGATCTCGTCGTCCTTCCCATAAATAATCTCTCTAGCCTTCGTAATTTTTCAAGGTTAAATGCAGCTCGAAGGGGTACAACGTATAAAGCATCTCAATAACAACAGCAGCTGCACCAACAAAATAAAGTATTTATGGCAAATTTTGCCGGTCTTTGATCATCAAGTGCTATCATTGCTGATTCGTCCTGAATCAAACTTGGGTTTAACCCGGTATCGGTGTGTAGACTCAGAACGGCGTTACGCTCATATCAACCAATTTAAATACTTTTATTTGGATTTTTATGTGAAATGCATGAAATGATTTTATAGAGTATCTATTTCGAACGAATTACGATAAAATAGATTTAAATAAAGAACGAGTGTGGATCGATCTAAGATGATCGAGATTACGCGGCTTACTAGCTTGATATTATCGGGAATTTTAGTGCTAATTGAAACCGTATTTTGGAGGCATCGTTTTGACGTCCGCTTACTGATAAAGAATAATCAAACGATAATAACAAATTAATTCGTATATGACATTCATTCTACTGCGAAAGTGTAACATGACCATTTGAGACTGTACACTTGCCATCGCTGCGGAAATCGCAGACACCTGAATTCCTCAAGGGATTTGAATTTGAATTTAAATCCTTAGAATATAATTTCGGTAAAATTATCAGCAAATGACAATTTTTCTGCTTCGGAGTATCGGACCAGCGTACAGTATCTGAACAATCGCTTAAGCGTTTTGTGGGCATTAAGAAAAAGAAATACAAAATTACGATTCAAAAAAATCAGCTAGCTTAGTCCGAGCCCGAAACGTTGCTAAAAAAAACGACGATCCAGCGTGTAATAACGCAGGAGCTTAGCCTTTAGGCTCGGCTTCCAATCATAAAACTAATCCGATTTCGAATATCATCATAATATACGAATATAAGGTAGAAGCAAACGTACAAACATATATATACGGATAAGAGCAATCCTAAACTTGGATCTCTCGTTCTCCAAAAACTCGCGCCCCAAATATAAAATCACAAACACACGCGCAGGCAGGCACGTAATATCCATACAAATGTAAATGTATATATGTGAGAATTTGCAATTAAACGAAATTGAAGAACGCATAAATCTCACCTCTCGTCGTGGTTTTGTTTTTTTTCTTTTTCTTTCGTTTTTTTTTCATTAGCAGTGTTGCTGCTGTTGCGATCTTTCGGACCCTCAGTCGAAAATTTTCTCTTGGCACGGCAGCAGCAACAGTAACGCCAAACGAAACGCGAGCAAAAAAATACCCACACACACACACACACACACACACACACACACGTGTATAAGCGCATAAATATATCCACATACACACAAGAGGCTAAATCACCTTTAGCAACGGACGCGAGGCGGCACAAAAACAGGCTTGGAAGGCAATTATAAATCCGAAAATGAGAAATAAATTCAACGCGCAAAATCAGATTAGCCTCATCTTCCTCGTGTATGTGTGTAAGCGTTTACGTGATATTTCTGTGTGTATATGTGTACGCGTACCTCGAGAATGTGTAGGTGAATGCATGTATAAATATGTGCACATACACGTATGCACAGTCGAGCAGAGTACAGACGAAAACACGAAGGGAAGCTGCTGGCTGAAAAATAAGAGAAAGAAAGGGAAAGAGAGCACATATATGTATAAGGCATGCAGAAAGCTACGGAGAATAAGATGGACAGGCCGAGATAGGTCGACGACGTGTATGCTTGCCTCGCGCGCGCACACGTGAAGCTCTCGCATGCACATGCAGCTGCAGCGCGCACAAAACAACACAAGGACGTATATAGTTGCCCGACTGCACTGTTGCTGCTGCTGCACTGCTACTCGGCGAATACGGCATGGCTAAGCTTAAAAGTACATCGAGGAGAGAAGAAAATGGACCTCAAGTTTTAAATAAAAGGAGCCCAGTTCATTCTTGGCGTTTCGTATTATAAGCACCTCGGAACGTTCTCTCCTTGCTTCAGCGGTACTCGACCAACGATATTCCTCGTATATTATATTTCGTCATGATTTCATTCGACTTAACGAGTGTATCCCCGTCGTCCTCGACGTGGCGCGAAATTTTCGCGCTGATACACGTATATTAAGTATATAATACAAGAGCCAAAGATAGATCATCTTTGGTTTTGCGGCCACCAAATTATTACATGTAATCGAGAGAGTTTTTCGGAGCTCACATTTATTGTAACGCAAAATCGTTTTAGCTCGAATACGATTGGAAAAGAAAATGAAATTGCACACGCAAGTGTATAGAAAGAGAGAATTTCGCAACGTAAGCAAGAAGGAGAATCAAATGTGTATACCGATTCTACGAAATCAAAAATCGCAAACATTCGGACTTTACAGTAGTTTGCACACACACATATATGTATAAATGGGGACTGTATCAAAGGAAGCTCTGTTATGTGTACATGCAGCCAGCCTCAAGAGAAAGAGAGAGAGAGAGACCAGAAGAAAGAGATGGGGCTTAGTCTCGTGAAGTCTCTCTTTCAAGATCGGTAAAAAAGAAATTCTCTATATATGTACGAATGGGTCAGCATAATAGAGGCGGGGACCTCGTTTCTATCTCTCTCTCTCTCTCTCTTTCTTGCACGCGTGAGAGGCTCGACGCCAGCAAGGCGCGACAATAGCGCGCGCCCGGCATTTCTCTCTCTCTCTCTTTCTTGCTCGTTCTTTTTACCGAACCGGATTTCGGGATTAAAATCCAGTATACACTCATACACAAGAACGCGACCGAGTGAACAAACAAACTAACATTTTTGTATATCTATATAGATACACACAATCCTTTTTTCTTTCCCTTTCGAGTTTCGTTCCTCTTTCGTTTCTGCACGTGTGTGCGCCTACGTGTGTATGTGCGTGGGCATGCATGTTTGTGTGCGGAGTAGCAAAGCGCACAGCGAGATGAGAGAAGAAGGTAAAAAGAGAGACTGTAGAGGCGAGAAAAAAAGCGAAGGAAGGTGGCGCGAATCGAGCGAAAAGAAACATGACAATGATGCGGAGGAGGGTGAAACCTACGGCTCCTCTCGCTGCTCTTGTGGAACTTCTCTCCGCAGCTCTTCTTTGAATTCGTTACGCTCGGAGAAAGAGTGAAACAGTCACGCTCGTCTTGCTCCTTTTTTTTTTTGGTTCCTTGCTCGCGCTTTTTTTTTCTCCACTCGTTTTTTTCCTCTCGTTCTTTTTCCTTGCTCTCTGCGCGAACTCGGCAGATTAGTGGCTAGATTCTCAAAAATGATTCGAGGTGTAAAAACATAAGATGGACTGTCGAGCTGATTTCTACTAATTTCACTGTTAAAAAACTGAACACAATTTCGGTATATTTTCGAGTATTTGTTGAGAAAAATTGCATCAACCAATTGTTTACATTTTACAGAAGAGCGAAAAAAATATTTAAATTGAAATTTATTAATATCAACAAGTATGTAATAAAAATTTTTTTGAATATCCTCTTGATATTTGGTTTTTACAGATGAGAAGTAAGGGCATGGATTAAATCTAGCAGGTCGGGTATTTCGTATCGCCAACCTAGCCACATTCAAAATTGGGGAGCCAATAACGTTTTATACATCATATGTGAAATTTTTTTATCAATTAATTGCCATAGAATCCAATTTAAAAAGAATTTTATATCAATACTTAGTTGTTTATTTAAATTAATTATTTCTCAAAGTATACGGAAAGTGTATAAATATTAATAAATCATTATTTACACAAATAACTTTTTATCATTTGAACGCTCGCTAGCCATCATTACGAGCAAGTGCGAGGCATTAAAGAGTTCGTGGTTCATAAAGGTTTTTTAATTTTTGTTTTGATTTAGAGAACAAGACCACTCAGACAGCTGCCCATCCATCCCTTCAGGTATGAAACCCGAAGGTGAACGATCATCGAGGGCTGCCGAATTCTCCACAAAGGAGGATCCAGACAGCCAACCTCACGCTCAGGATGAGAAGCCGTCTCTCATCATCGTGGCTGCATCGACTCCTACTTTGGGTAGAGAGTCTGTGAAGATATACTACAGAAATGATCCTGTGAAGTATGATCTTAATTTCTACAGGGAGTTTCTCAAACTTAAGCACTGAACTTTTATAAATCACTTGTGGATTCGGCACAAATGCGCTGATGGCCACGTAGCGGATGAGTAGCTAATTAACTTTGATGAACGATCTACTAATGCGCATTACGCATGTCACAATTTTTGGTAGTAGTATATCTTCAGCGCGCATTATACGAAAGTCTCCATTATGTATTTGGAATGTGCTTTTTGTATCAAATGAGATCAAGCGTAAAAATTAAACATAAGTTTATTATATAAAAATAGGAACAGTCACATTTTTAGGAAGAATCTTTTAGTCAATGTATTGGCAACAGGTTTTCATTAAATATTTGGTACACATAATTTGACATTGAAATTCATAAAGATGTTATTTATTAAAAATTTTATTATAGTAAATATTGTTAGATTAAATACTGTCAGACATATAAATAGGATCATTTTTCATTTCGAGTAACATTTTGACACTACAATATTTTTGATTTTCCTCATCAAATTTCGAATTGTTTGAAAAAAAAATTAAGTTGAATTCTTCAAGACTTTACAAACGGTTCTATTGGTTCTTGAAATTCAATAGTGAAGGAAGAATTGCTTAAAACATCGCAAGCTCTTATTTGAAGGCAGGGATGCTGCATTGTCAAGCAAAAAAATTCACTCCTCTACCACAAAACGTTTAAATGGACCGGTTCCTTTTTTCACTACCGCTCTTGTTTACAGATTTTTATATCTCTCGATCCTCGGATCTTTTATGAAATCCAACACCTACCAATGGTGTGAAAGCTATTGTATGTTATTGTGATTATGTCTACTTTTAACGATGGTAATTTGATTTATGTGCACTGCACAATGAGAATACCTCCAATGGCAAATTATGTAAGGCCAATACATGTAAAAAACGATATTGTCTCTGTATAAATGGTAACAAATCGGTTTTTTATGTTAACAAATAGATTCCATTTTCATGAGTTAAACTATTATTATTGTTATAAAAAATAATAATAATATACTTTATAAAACATCGCTGTCAACGTCGTCGAATATATTTTTAATGCATTGTCCACCGAAACATATCTGTCAAATTAAAGCATATGGATATTTAACAACTAACTTTACGTATTTCATAATTCAAGACATACTTGATTTTCTCCACAATATGAACCATCGGCTGGTCGATGAAAAAATGTTTCATTGGCAGTTATTCTCCCATCACCGATATATTTTGAGCAAATCAAATGCAAACAATTATATTCTTCTTCCTGCAAAAATATTTGTATGAAAATTTTGCTTAATTACTCCACTCTAGCAGAATTACTCACGGAAAAATATTCATCTCCATGCAGCGAACATTGATCATCGCGAACATAAACTTCCCCTGGTAAGGTTTTGGATTTCAAATATTCTGGATTAGGTTCATAAACAGATCTCGTGTCAGCTACGCACTTTCCCTCCAAACACATCTAAAACAGAGATAATTGTATAATTTAGATCCTAATTTTTGCTCATTGTCATAAAATATTTTTTGAACCAACATGCCCAATTCCACAATATGTTCCGTCGGCTGGAGGGCTATGTATTTCGACCATGTGAAGATCAATAGTGTCATTTATCAATACGACTTTCGTACAGTGAAGTTTCGAGCAATCACTTTCGACTGTCTGTTTAATACAATGTATTTATTATGAATAAATGAGACTGCGATTGAATGTAAATGATGTACGATAGATATTTTACCCAATTAGAAAAGTATCCTTCTTTAATTTTCCAACATTGTTCGTTTCGACTCATAATTGTTCCAGGCAGTATTTTTGGGTATGGGATGCCAATATCTGGTTTGTTGCGAAGACATTCTGAATATCCAGCACTTGAAAATTAATAAATTTTTATCATATCAAAAAAGTTACATCAAGTTGAAAGTTCAATTTATAAAAAATAAACTTGATTTCATTAATGTTCGATCTTATAATGTTTATTAATTTTCTAATTAAATAAAAAATACAGGATTCATACTTGAAGAAAGTTCTCATGCTACTGATACTGCAGTTTGACCAATGCCACGAACGGCTGTCTGTATTATTGTAACTCATAATGTATCCATCGTTTCCAGAACAAAACATTTCGGTAGGATTTTCTGCTGGTATACCATCGTGTTCGGCGCCAAATCTATACCGGTGTTCATAATTTTTTAAAATTTTTAAAAGATTAAAACACATGAGTATGATCAAATAGGAAAAATGTTACGTGTGAGCTAATTCATGAGCTGCGGTAATGATTCCGCTGAAGCCCCCGGTGTCTTGTACTAAAGCTACGTTCGACAGAACATCGCAGGCCCCTCCTACAGCAGCGATACCTTTTGAACGTGGAAATTAACTGGGGTTAAATATTGAAATTTATCATTTCGAATTATTATTGTACCATACCAGTAGCCAATGACGTATTATTATTGTCATCAGAGCTGATTATATCACGCCTGGTAAATGTATACATGCGCATTGAGTTAATTTTTCATTTAAATAATCTAAAGTATCATGATGAGGCAATGGCGAACAAATTTTTAATGCTTACCTTGTCATTAGAACTACAACGTCGTATTTCGTCCTGGGAATTTCAGATAGTCGAGAAAAGTATTTTCCAGCTATTTTCAAAGTTTTGCTCCCTAAAATTGAGTAGTTTCCTACGTAACTTTGCGATAGATACCAATTAGCCTTTGGATCCTTAAAAATTACAGTTTAATTCCTGATCACGTAAATAAAAATATTATTACACGAGGTATGAAAAAAATATTTTTACTTGAGGTATTATTATCCCAGCTATATTTAGTTGAACAGTGGGTCTGTCAATTTCTCGAAACTTAAGATCAACTGCGTTCCAGAGAGCTATCATATAAAATAACGTTCCGTTGATATTAAAATTTTCCATCCTAAAAAATGATAATTTTCAAATTTTCTATGTTACACCGTGATATTGTGATATGTAATTTACCCGTAAGTTTCATAATCTATAACGACTAAAATTTCTGGATAAACTATATCCTTGTCAGTAAAATGTTGATTTTCTGAATCTTCCCTTTTTTTGCGCCTCTTCCTTTCAATTCGACGCAACTTTTGTATACTTTCATCTACAATAATCACAATTTATGCAATAATTGTAATGAACCATTTATGTTGTGCACTAAATTACCTGACTTCCTAATTGCCCCTCTATTAGAATTGCCTCTGCGAATTTTCGTTTTTATCGCAATGTGATGAGTTCGACCGGAGTATAAATTTTCTCGTAAATTCCTGGGGATAGAAAACGATGCATTCTTCAGTAAATCCAGATCAATACGTTTTGGTAATGGTCGCAACATCACTCGATCGTTTATGACACCGGTCTAAAATAAAGTCAATTCAATCAACGATAAACAGTGTAAAAATTTTATTTGCAATTTTTCTCGTAAAAATAAAATGTTCTCATACAAAATGTGTATCATTTCCTCGATCGTTATTCGTCATCAAGGCAGCATTGTTAACTAGATCAGAATAAACATTCAACGAGCTCATAAGAGGCTGAAATCATTAATTCAGTATTGAAGTAATAAAATTCTGAAAATTTTTTCAACTTTTGAAGTCTGAAATTATACGTACAAATTCAAATTTTTGGTAAGATATACTTAAATTCTTTTTGGAGTCGCTGTAAGCCAAATATATTGGAGTTTTTTGGCCGATCAAAACTTCATTATTTTTCGTTAAATTAAGCTTATAAGTTTTATTGAAGGCTCGCATGTTTAGTTGAAGATTTGATCCATCTGTATTTTCGTAATTTATCGACACAATGTCATACTCCAATTCATGAACTACACCAAAAAAATGTAATGTATGCTAGCGATCAATTGTTATTGCCATGAATTTTCGTTACCTGTTTCCTTTTTGCAGTCAAAAACCAATTCCACCTCGACATCTGTCATTAAATCGTGAAGCTAAAATTAGATAAACGGAAGCAACTGTTTGCTATATTCCTCGTAGTGTTATCGAGTTTCGAGAATTTCTATATTACCTTTTGTCCCCGAATCGTAAGCACATAAGAGCCGAACAGTATAATTGTGAGCCAAATCATTAGTTAACTGCGGTTACGCTTCTTTCGAAATTCCGACCAACTACAACTGCCATAAAATGTATCGTCGAGCATGTACATTTGAACTATTTTTTTAGTTGGTGCAGAATCGTGATGGATATGAAATTTAATGTTCAGACATAAAAATTAATAACTACGACGATTCCTCGTGAAGTTATACATAATAAGGTTCCTACAATAGTCTCGTCTAGTATCGAGTAGAACTTTCGCTATCATTTTATACGAAGGGATGAATTAATTTCATTAATGGTTCACGAATAATTCAGGATCATTGTTTAAATTATCATATAATCTTCCTGATGGATATTTTTCCGAAAAAATTTTTTATATTTCGAACATTATCCACGTGTGTTTTTAAAATGACACCTACGTAGCCAAAATTACAGAAAAATTTTTTCAAGGTTTTCATTCCTAACACCTTTTCAAACTCGTTTAGTTCGTTTGCGAATGAAGAATTTTTTCTAGGGTCCCTATGTCATAAGCTTTAAATGTGCATGCGTGTGCCGGCATAGGCTCAGCTGTCTGCGTGTAGTTTTACTCATTTCAAACTTTACACCGAGGTGGATACATGGTACTTGTAATTTTTTGACTACTTTTATTATGTTACAATAATAATTCGACAGTTATATCTCGATTTTAAGGGAAAATATTATATGCATTATGTTTTAATCAATTTTAATCAACTTTTTTCAGTGATTATTTCTGCAAAATATCTGCAAAAATGTCCGACGTTGAAACGTAAGTATCAATCATTACTGCACACGTGCACAGTTTTTCAATAACAGTAGAATTTGTATTGAGTAAAATTATTAATCGAGCGTTCCTTATTAACGAGTTAGTGCAGTATTTTATATTTAAGAAATATTTATATCATTATTTTTCAAAATAATGCTGATGGTGGCAAAGAACTATCATTTTCAAAATCTAACCTAAAATCACAAAGTGAACTGCATGCGTGGAAATAATAATAATTTTATTTTGAAATAATAATAATAATAATAATGGTAATTGTTATTACGTAGTGATGACGTGCCCTCCGCAGTTGGCGGCCCTATGGATGTGAACACTGCACTCCAAGAAGTCCTTAAAACAGCCCTCATCCATGATGGAGTTGTACGAGGCCTTCATGAGACCACTAAAGTATTAGACAAGTAAGTTGAAAATGAAATTCAATAAAATTTCATAATTTTATAAAAAATTCATTAATTTATAAATTGATATGAAAATTTTTACATCACTGATAATAATTTTATTAACAGGCGACAGGCTGTTCTTTGCATTCTTGCTGAGAACTGCGATGAAGCTGACTACAAAAAGGTGATCTCAGCTTTGTGCAATGAACATCAAATACCTCTTATTAAAGTCGACAATAACAAAAAGCTTGGCGAATGGGCTGGCTTATGTAAAGTTGATAAAGACGGCAAAGCCAGGAAGGTTGTTGGATGCTCTTGTGTAGTCATCAAGGTAAAGTTTTGATTAAATTTTAATTTTAGATTTAATGTAAATTGAAATAGAAAACTGAATTATTTAATAATTGAAACAATTTTCTTTTCAATTCATTTTTGGCCATTGTTGCGTAAATACCAGCCTTTAATAAATTAAAAATATTATGATGATACTTTGGCTCCCTCTACTGAAATGAACCCAAAAAATTAAAATCTCTTGTTGAAATAAGCCTTACTGATAAAGCGATAATTTAATGAAAATATTTAGCCAAATACAGACCAACTTGAGTTTCATAAAAAATTTTCTGTTTTAGGACTTTGGTGAAGACACTCCAGCTAAGGATGTTCTTATGGACTATCTCAAACAAAGTGCTGTACATTAAGTTCACTTTAATAAAAAACAAATAAAAACCAAATTTTTACAGTGTTCTTTTAACTTTGTGTTATTAAATATTATGCAAAGAAGTGTATACACCCTTTTTAAGCACTTCAAATATTCCATCTCCACTAAAAAAATTAAAATGTTTGAATAATTCAAAATTCCGTCTTCTTAATCTTGGAACGTAGTCTCTATCTAAGGCTCTGATAATCACCACACATAATCTTATGCTTTTATTTTTCCATAATTCGTGCAACTACGTGAGCTGCACCACGTATTCTCACGCCGCTGCGATCTTCAGATAAGTGTTTTTTTACCTGTATGGTATATTAGCAGAGTACGTCGAGAGTGAGAGCATACGCTGCATGAACCGAGATCGTTTAATTTTGCCCGCATAAAATTGCAGCGAGAAGAATTTTGTCGATATCGATCATCGCAAGGCTCAAGCGATATATTTAAGTTACACCTTTATATTTGCATCGCAAACCAGAAATAAATTTTAAGTAATGCGCGTAAAAAAATCGTATGCATGCATAAACGAAAATGGAAGAAAGTGTATTGCTTGTTGGTCGATTCCACGCAAGTTATTTTTTGATGGCAAGCTGTTCTCGACGTGCTTCGACGTTTGCAATCGGATAGATCGACATTTTGAAGGATGCCCTCTTTGAAAAACTCGTTTCTCTCAGTTAACATAAATCTGGTGTTTTTTTTTCATATAATTCGAGCTCGGTATCGTAAAAGTTCTTGATTGAAATTTACTCTATTTTTACAATCGAAAAAATATGACTTTAAAACAATCATATTTATGTAATATTTTTAAAAGTAAAATTATGATACAAATTTCATCTGTATTTTGATGGTTTTTATCCTATTTCATTGATGCTTTACTTTTCGAAGAATCAAAATATCCCATAGTATTGCAATGTTACATTTTGACTACCTTAGCCTCAGCGATACTTCTTTACCGATCAATTCGCAGTACCAATCAATCTTTATCAACAATGTAAAGTAAAGTATTATTATGTTTTTACTGTAAGGTATTTTTGTGTATAATTTTTGTAGCAAAAACGTTTGTAAATCATTAATTATGAACGTTTGTTTTGTTACTTCAGAATTGAAGTTTGCTTTTCATAACTTTGGATACTATCTTCAATTCTTCAATCAAAAAGGAGCTGAAAATCCTATAAAATATAAAGTAAATCAACCTCTTATTATTGCCATATTGAGATATGTATGTAGTATTAATTTAACATGTTATTGTATTTTACCTTGCCTTAACACATTTTTAAATTTTGCACTTGTAATGAGACTGTCAGTCACGGCTTAAAACCAAACTTAGAAATGGAAAATCTTACACTTTATAATATTATAATTGAATCATAAAATTTAGCTAAATACAGACATAATAGTGATAATATAAATTATTTATAAGTTTCCCATTTTGATCGTTAATCGATCATGTTCGATTTTGAATTGTATTCTAGAAATCCATAATGCGCAAAACCAACGACGCATCAAAACACATCTTCTGCTACATAAGTCATAAGTGATCGAGCTCCAAAATAACTTAAGATAAAAACAACAAAGCGGCATAAATGAAGAATAATTTCGATCGTAACTGACATACTCTTCCGTAGCAATTTTATTGAAGCATTTGTACTAAAAAAATCAGCTTTATAACAATGGCCAGCAATAATATAAATAAATTGATTGCAAGAACATTTTTTAAGAATTTTTTTGAAAAAACTGAGGTAAATAAGTTACATAACAATTCTTTAATTTAAATTAATGTCAAAAATGAGCATCTATTAACAATTTCTTTTATCTAATGGCAATATTTATTCTTGATTTATATGTTGAAATCATCAGATAACAGTAGAAATTCTTCATTTTAGAATTTGTCTCAAAAGAAAGGACCTAGTAGATTTGGACATTACAGCTTGATTGAGCCACAACAAGTGTCAGCAAAACGAGATGTCCCAGCATACATTCCTAAGCCCACATATGCAGAAACTGGTGAACCTATGCCACCTCCAAGTGAACCAGAGATTAAAACTAAAAATCAAATAGAATGTATGGCACACAGTTGTATACTTGCCAGACGAGTGTTACGTGAAATCAAATCTATATTAAAAGTATGCCTTCTGATTTTATTTAAAAGAAAATAAATGATAATTAGAATATTTTTAGCCAGGTATTACCACAGACTTTGTGGATCACACAATTCACGAAATGATCATAAATCAAGGAGCTTATCCAAGTACATTAAATTATCGAGGATTTCCAAAATCTGTATGTACTAGTATAAATAATGTAGCTTGTCATGGAATTCCTGATGACAGACCTCTGCAAGACGGAGATATTTTGAACATTGATGTGACAGTAATGTATACTAGTTGTGAATTATTATCTCAATGTTATCAAGTTTTTTAAGTAAACTTATTTCCATAGGTTTTTTTCAATGGCTACCATGGAGATTGTTCAGAAATGTATGAAATTGGAACAGTAGACGAACAAGGCAAAGACCTTATTAAAATAGCTAAATTATGCATGCAAAAAGGAATGGATATTTGTAAACCAAATGAAAAATTTTGCAATATAGGTACAGATATTTAACCACTACTTTAAATGTATACATAAAAGTAATCATTTATTTACTTTCAATTCAATTTGTTAAAATAAAAATTGTCCTGCAATAGGTACTATGATAGAGGAAACAGCAAAGAAACATGGTTATAACATATTTCCTGCATTTGGTGGTCATGGTATAGGTCAATATTTTCACGGGCCACCAGACATATACCATTTTGGTGAGCAAAATTTTTCATCAAAATATTTCAAATTTTAATTTTATTTAAAATGACGATATTTTAAAGCTAATGATGGAGAGGGTGTAATGAAACCAGGAATGACATTCACCATTGAACCAATTGTTACACAAGGAAGGGAAGAAGTTGTAGTTTTAGAAGACGAATGGACGGCTGTGTCATTAGATAATGCAAGATCAGCGCAGTTTGAAAACACAATTTTAATAACTGAAAATGGTTATGATATTTTAACAAGCTAAATATAAAGTCGGATCTTGGAATTGAACAAATAAAGAAATCCAAGTTTCAGTAAATGGCTATTTATACTATAAAATATTTTTACTACGCTCCCATACAAAATAATTTTTTCTAATTTTTCTAAATATTAGTAATTTGGTATCATATTACAAATCATAAACATTAAATTCCTTTAAGATGAGTGATCCTTTGGTTCCATACATACTGAATTGTCTCTGGTCTTCATTTGGATAAATTCTGCTGCTCATCACTGCCTGTCCATCATTTACGAAAACCTCAATAGACGAGCTGTCAATGAAAATATCCAAGGATAATTCAGGCTTGGACAAATCGATCGGTACACTTCTGGAGGATCGTTCAATATTGTATTTGGGATAAAATCGTTCGAGGAACAATCGGCTTTTCTCGCGATCTACGTAGATCTTGACTCCCTCGAATTGCTCGTCGTTGCCCTTGAGCTGGATGCCGAATTCCTCGCAAGTCGTCTCCTTCAAGTTGAAGTCAACGACGATCTCGTTTCGATTCAACTGCTCGCCGCTGAGAAACACCCGTTCGCCTGCTGCATCAGCTTGTTCCGACGACTTGGCAGGCTCGCTGGATTCGAGGGTTGCAGCTTTACGCTTCTTGCGAGCTTCCTTGACTTCTTTGATGGGCCTGATCTCCAGATCACCGGCGTCGTTCAAAGTGAGCTCCCTTGGTAGCGAAAACTGTCCAGCCCAGCCCTCGCGTTTCTCCGCGAACTCGGACTCCCACATGTCCAGCCAGCCGATGAGGATCCTTCGGCCGTCGGCCGCCAGGAAGGTTTGCGCGGCGTAAAAGTCGTGGCCGTGATCGATCTCGCGGAACTCGCGCTCGATCTTGTAGTCGCTGCCGGGATGCCACTCGCCCACGAAGTATCCGGTCTGGTAGAGATTCTGGTAATCGTAGCCGGCCGGCTCCATACCCTGCGGATTGACCAGCAGGAGACGCTTGCCGTTCAGGCTTATCATGTCCGGGCACTCCCACATGAATCCGTACTTTTTCTCGGACCTGGCCAAGACCCGATCGTAGGTCCAGCTCATCAGATCGGTCGAATTGTAGAGCAGCACCTCGCCACGGCCGTCGGGCGTTTGGGTGCCTACGATGACCCAATAGGTGCCGTCGGCCTCCTGCCAGACCTTGGGATCGCGGAAATTCAGCTCGCTGCCGTCGCGCACGATGACCGTGCCGAGCTTGCGGAACCGGTCGTCCTCCTCGCTGTCCGAGACGGCCAGCATCTGCCTCTGGCGCTTGTTGTCGAGGCTCACCCCGGTGTACATGAGGTGCAGCTTGTCGTCCTTGACGATCGCCGAGCCCGAGAAGATGCCGTCGATGTCGTCCGGGAGCGAGGGCGCCAGGGCGATCGGCAAATGCTCCCAGTTGAGCATGTCGCGGCTGCGCGCGTGGCCCCAGTGCATCAGGCCCCAGCTCGGCGCGTCCGGGTAATGCTGCCAGAAGGCGTGATAGTAGCCCTTGTGGTAGATCAGGCCGTTCGGATCGTTCATCCAGCCCTTCACCGAGGCCAGATGGTATTTCGGATACCAGGAGTACGGGGCTTTTGTCGGCTGCGACTTGGACGCTTCGAGCAGCAGCGCCAAAAGTAAGAGTCCGCTAACTGCGACGTGTTTGCTCCAAGACATCCTGCTTCTGGAATGAAAAAATTAAAAGATTACGAATGTATAATATTGCGAATTAATCGGTAGCTTTAATAATTCTCATCTACGTCATTTACATGGAAGCAGACAAAAACGACACCTGTCCGCTGGGATAGACCATTGTACTTTTATTTTTTATTTTTCTCACAACGACGTTCTTTTCATGTTTCTCGAGAAAAACATGCAGCTTTATATAGATAATAAACTAATGCGAGAAAAATTGGCGCTTTTTAGCGTGTACCAGCGATTATTACCTTATTAATTTTTCATTATATAATCGCGTAACGAGCTGTCGCGCGAGCGCGTCAAAATAAAAATGCAATCGCGATTCACACTGGCGTAGATAGCCCTGGCTATATATACATCAATGCATTATGCCGCGACTTGGTCAACATTACGTCTTTTTTTTTTATTTATTTTGCAAAAAAAGATCATTTGTTGATTGCATGAAAAACGTTAAAATTTCAAAATTTATGCGTGAATCATAAGCTAACTTTGGCCGAAGATTCTGCGTTTCGTCTCTCAAAATTCATTAGTAATTGTTTACCTCTGGAGAACTGGTTTGACAGTCCGACAAATATGTTCGCAGTTCTATTCGCGCGTCGTGTAAGCTTTTCTACGGTTTATCATACGTTAAAGCGATCGATAAAACTGACTCTTAATTTTAGTGTTTCAGTTTGAATTTTCATTCAAACCATGGAGTATTGAATTATATCTTTTGCAGGCAATTCAGTTTTATAATTACAGAAATTACTTGGTTAAATTTATTTGAAATAATAATAAGCAACTATATTATTACTATATCAGCAGGCACACAAAAAATAATTGTAATATTTCCATTAAAAAAGAAAAGTTAATTTTCATTTTTCCAATTAATGAAAATAAAGTTAATTTACCTTCCTAGCAAGTGCACAGTTGAATTATTCTATAATAGTGAGTAGAATAGTATTTTTCATGCACTTTAACTGCGTTGAAAAACTAAAAATCGACCATGCTTTTAAAAGATACGTAAATGAGGCACATAAATAATAATTGTATAGAAAAAATAAATTAATTTTCTTTAGATTAGTTCTTACGAAATAAGCTCATTTACCTTGTCTGCAAGTGTACGTCAACAACACTTCTATTGATTTTTTAATAAATATAATTAATTTTCTTTCAACCAATTCGCGTGAATAGGAATAATTTTCCTTGTCAGTACATGCAAATCTACTATATTTCTGTTTGTTTTACGACGAAACAATTAATATTTTTCCATCAGTTTATATAAATGAAGGTAATTTACCTTGACAGTATGTGCATATCTGCACTTCTGTTGAATTTTAAATTACACTGAAGTCAGATGTGTGAAATCTTCAAATGCAACAGTGTCGTAATGCACAAAAGAGAGGGAAAACATGTGCAAGAAAACCTTTATTCTACTAATACAAATTATCTAATTATATTGCTTGGAGGATAATGAAATGTTGAACTAATTTTGTTGACATAAATTGACTACTTTGAGCGACTTACTCAGATCTGACGAGCTCAGTGTTTCAACTGCTTGATCGATGAAGTTATTTTGATGACTTTATGTTCAATACAATCAATTTTTTTGCACATTGAGTGTGCTTTGACGATAGTGCAATATTTTTTCAATCGTTTTCATTGTTTACGATACATATATTAGTGATATCCTTTCAATGTTAAATTTATTCAAAAAATCTTATCTAATCTCATCTTATTTTTGCACTATAACGAGATATAACTCATTTATAAGGTTAGCGTTTTTACTATAATTAATAGTCGAAGATATATCCTTTTAGGATGCTTCCAAATTATTCTTACTTGAATAGCTAATTAGTTTTCTTAATTGTGTCACCAAAGAGTTTAAATTATTTTTCAAAAATGGAAAATTGATAGAGCAGCGTTGAATTTTTTTGAAACATTTTATTCCACGATATAGAAACATTTTTCCAACATATTTACGTTCAATCACTTTACAAACTTAAACTAATTATTTAATACCGGTCGAACGTCAATTAAAATTAGTAATACAATTGGATAACCGCATATTCATACCGATTATATCTAACATTCATACCAGCGGTAATAGGAACACTTATGATCACAATTGTAATAATTTTTATGCCGTATCGAAGAAATTGAAGAAAGAGGTCAAGCCCGTCCGCTCGGCTATTACACTTCCTGTAACTGCGATCGAGACGATGGGAGACGAACCCATTTGTCCGATCAAAAAGTTAGCTTCGAATTTACCCGATGGTATCAGTCCAACTGGAATATAGTCAGCCATGTTGATCACGTAGTTACTTATCGTGTAGTTTCCCTGAAAAGCGAAGCAAAGAATTTTCAAATAATAAATATTGCGCTTGGATTTGTAAGTAGCCACGGTGTCAAAATGTAATTTTGATATACTCACAGCAGCAATGGGACATCCTCCAGGGAATTTGTTTTTTGGTTGAATTTTATCAACGATCGGTTTGAAGAATCCTTTCTCGTCGAGAGCTTCGCAGAGGGTGTTCACTTGATTTCTCAGTATCGGTAATCCATGGAATTGTAAATTTCCCCTCACCTAAAATTGGATAAAATCTTTACTACACTTGTATGTATAATTTTCCATATACCTATCCGATGCTCACCTGGAATCGCTCGTCCAATTGACTTTTTACCGGTACCCTGACCGATATGTAACAATCTTCATTTTCGTACCTCAGCTTCGTGACGATTTCTCCGAAGTAATCGTTGGGTCTGCTTTTCACTTTCAACGATTTGACTCGTACACCGACGCACACCTGTCAACGCAAAACGCATCGCAAAGCTTAACCACATTTTCGGGACAGTTTGACAATGAAAGAAAGAAAGTACGCGATTAACTTACAACTTGTTCGACTGCAAGGGCCAAAACACACAAGGTAAAAAGTTGAATTGTCTTGGATGCCATGACTGTACGAGTTACTTCTTGCTGATCTACGAAAGCACTAGGTGATTGCAAGAGGATGTGTCCTCTCTTATATACGAAATTATTAGCGCCGAAATTTTGACGAATGGGAGCAAAACAGAAAATAGGGCAAAAAAGAGACAGAACTATGGTTTTACGGCGGGGCAAATGATCGTTTAGCGCTAGTATCTCACGCATTAGCCATTAAGGCCTTCGATTCTTATTCGAATGGTATATGTGGATTTAATGCCTGCTTATTCACTTCCAAACTCGGTTACCGTTATGATTAAGGTAAGCCGGAAGAAACCAGGATGATAGGAATACAAAGAAATAAAACTATCTAATCACACCTGTATAGATTTTGGTACTCCAGTGCTCACCTGACTCTTTATTGTGAGATTTGACTCATCGCGTCGTATGATAGGAGCTCAGATAAGGGTCTTCGTCGAGGCTTTAGAATTGCGTATTTATCTCTCAGCTGATCCTTGAAAACCGCAAAAAAAACTTTAATCGAATCGTTTGTAATCCGTTTATCCGTAAAAGATAACTTTTACTTTTATAAGTGATTTTTCAAGAGAAACCTATCTTAAAATGTAAATGATTTATTCTTGGATTATAGGAATTATGAAATAATACGTCTGCAACTCTCACTTTACATTCAATTTTATTGATAATCTATATTTGTAATTGCTTCACAAGACAAAAAATGTATAGTTATTAAAAATCAATAATAATTTGTCCCATTTTGTTATTTTTTGAGTTAATATAATCAATTATTTCAGGATTCATTTAATCGATCTTAATTTATTTTCAAACTTTTTATAGATCAAATGTACGGAATAACTTTTACTTTTTTGAAATAGATTTTCTACATGAACTGGAAAGGAAAATTTGATTGATTCTTTTTTCCCACATGTATAGATAATTTTTTCGGGGTCATCCGTTATTTAATAGAATTTTTTAACGAGTTATTTGCTTAGGCGAATTACTGGAAATTCTTTAAATTTTTATCAGTGTTAGATTAGTCAATTGTGACAATAGTTTACAAAAAAAATACTTAGAAAAAACTACACTCGGAGTATATAATGGTTGCTCTAAGAAATTAATACAAATTGGATTTCTTAAAATTTAGTCCATTAAACTATATGGCTGCACAATTTAAGAAAGAAGAAAAATTAAATGACTTTTATGAGCTGGTAGGCATAATTTTGATTCACATACAGAAATTATTAAAAGTTGTTTTAAATATGTTCAACATCACTAAAACACAATTACGAAAAGTTGTATTTAAAAAATACAAAACACATTGAATTTTCATCACTTGAAATTTATTTCAATAAATTTTAATTAAAAATGTATCATTCGTCAATAAAAATTGAATAAATTGTATCATTTCAAGTATTATTTTTTCTTTATTTGTTCCATATTATAAACTTGAAGATTGGAGTAACGTTTAAATGAATAACCAATAATTTTCTGATCTGAATCGCTTCGTTCAACTGAAATATACTAAATGATTAAGGAATGTCCCTTGACACTCAAAAATCTGCTGGATATTTGAATTGATGCTACATGTGCAGCCACGGGCGTTTTTTCACCGGCCCAAAAATTTGCGACATCTGCAGCTCGTTGGATGCACACATCAAGGCTATTTCGCACAGTAGGTATCGCGCGCCCGTGATACAAGTCAACTGCGTTGCACTTTCACTGATAGCATAATATAGGTATTCAACGTGCGTTCTCGCCGCCGCGTTTATCAAGATCACTCGCCCAGACACTGCTCGGATTTAATCATCAAGTAGAATGCTTATTAATTCTGAGCCTATCATCGTCGCGTTGTATCAAAGATCGGTCTGCGGCACCGAACCAACAGTTGCAAAAAATGTTGAGTTTTTTCATGTTTCGATAATCTTATTCGAATGTTAACGCCAGCAGCCTGCATCGTGCGCCGATACGCATTCTACGAGGCCGACAAGTCAAAAAGCAGCAGCACACGCATTTGGCCGTTGCGTGCGCTCACTGCAGAATCACGTCATATCGTATGCACTATGCAGTATTATCTGTAGCAATTATCAAGCTCGAAATATATAAATTTAGTGTAACAGGGTCTTGACTGTGACAGTTGATACTAGGACAACTCGTATTACGCTATAGACTTGCATCTTGAGGTTGGTGCAGAATCAAACTACTATATAGATATAGTGTGCATTAATGATAAAAGAGCACTGCTGCTGCCTTATAAACATGATGTTATATAGCAGCCACAAGTAGTCGCTTTCAGCTTAGGAGTTGCAAAATGAGCACGGCAATTGTCTCAAAGTGATGAGTCCCGTAAAATTATGCTGCAGCTCTCAGGTATACATATTATATCTTAATTGTGTTTTTCTGATTGTTTTTATGGTATAAAATATGCACACCGCGTCATTTATTCTCAAAGTAATGAAAAAAATGTGGCCGTAGCGCAGATTGTTGGACAGATTTTTGCGCACGGCTATTGCTTTAAACTGCTACAATCGCTGCTTATCGCTTCGTACTTTACCGTGCACAATAATAATCGGACGCGCTTAGCAGACAAATGAACGATGATACGATAAAGATGTAATAATTTGAATGAAGCCTGCCGCTCGTGAAACGAAATGACATTGAATAACTTGTGCAACTGACGACCACAGTCTGTTGACTTTCGATTTTTTCGTATAGGTGTACGCGACTGCTCTGACTCAGTGGAAACTGCTGTCAGATTATTGCAGTTTTTTTTCAATTTTTTTTTGTTTGAATTTCATTTTCGAATGCTTTGAGTTTGTCTTCAATAACAATTCGTCCTTTATTTTTAATACTTGTTCATATGAATTTATGTTGCTTTTACAACAAGAACCACTGCTTGAAAGTGAAAGTGTAGTATGCATGCAGTGTAGTGAGACTGCACTTGCTATTGATTAATAATGAAAATAAAAGTTATAATTTGATACAGGGGTAGTTATGAATATTTTTATAACCAATCTGTGATTATGAAGAAGCAGCTTGAATTTCATGGATTTCAAGCATGCTAATTTAGTGCTACTAAGAATGCAGCTAAATACAGATCAACAAACTGTGCCACCCAATGTCTGCATTGGTTTGGATCATGACCATGGTACGACGATTCCAATATCTCAAGGATCATCAAGTAATTATCCACCAAGATCATTGATGCATTATAATATTAATGTACCGCTGGAACAGTCAACAATTACAGAAGTCATTGACAGAACTGGAGCACCTCCATCCTATGAAGAAGTCATTGATCCAAATGGTATTTATAAAACACCAAATAGTGAAATAAGTTTTTAATTATTTGGTAAAAATTTACCCAAGAATGAAATTTTTAGCTCCACCACCATCTTATGAATCTTTATTTGGACGTGTACGAGAAGCGCACAAAACTCGAAAAGGCATATTTGACTTTCTTCGTAATATTCTTTGTTTAATATTTGGATCTAGTAAGCATCAACTTAAGTTTGCACTACTTTTTTTCATCGCAATGCTTTATGATTTTAATAATATTTTTCAGTTGGATATTCAATAATTTGGGGTATAACTGTAGTGATCCCAATATGTATGATGGTTATTGGTGGAATTTTCATTTATGATTGTCCACAAGGAGAATACATTCCTGTTTATTTACTAGTTGGAGGAGGACTTGGAGTTTTAAAGCAGATGCTCCTTTTATTTTCTAGAATACGACAATGTAGACAAGAAGAAAGAATTAGACAAACTTCTACAGAAACATTGATCGATTGTTTCATGTTAGGATGGTTGATAATAGGTAAGTTGAAAATGCTCTTGTGAATTGAAATTATTAAGAAATAATTGTGATAATTATTTTAGGTTCAATGTGGGTTTATAAAGAATATAAACCAAATTTTGATCCAAGTATAAGTAAACTGTATTGCAACAAAACGCTTTATTTATTTGCTTTTTGGGTAATAACATCAACCTATATACTTTTAGCAATAACAATATTTTGCATTTGCAGTATTTCTTTAGCAAGTGTAATATTCCAGTAAAAGTTGCATTAACTTAAATATTTAAAATTTTCAAAGTCAATCATTTAAAAAGTTTAGAAATTAATAATAATGTTAGTTTTTAAAACTGATATAACACACACTCTAAAAATGATATCAATAGCTATGCAATAAACATCATAAAATATTTAACTAACAAGTATGTTTGATTGTTGAAATCAAAAAAGATATATTTAAAATAAAACTAATGATAAACATGGATATCCAACTTTACAAAATATTAAAATATAATTGTAAAATGGATAGTCCATATTTAACAAATCCAAAAATTATAGCTTTTGTGAATATTGACAATCATTAAGTAACATGATTTATATTACATTTTCTACTGACCATAAAAATTGAATACATTGCAAGTATTGCAACAATGTTTGAGACATTTTTAAAAAAATATTGTAGTTTATGTTGTAATATATAAAACAAATGTTGTGTGTATTATTATAATCACAAGAATGAATGGAGACTGTGAACAGTTGACAGTTTGGAAGAGATGTCCAAAATTAAAGAAAAAAGGGAACACAAATCATATAGTCAACTAGCTGCTGTGCTAGTCATCATGAACAAATTGTGTAAAAATAGGAATTTTCATTGGTAGAACTTTCCTGCAATTATTTATCTACAACTGTATATTGTTAAATAGGATAGAAGACTGCACAAATTTATCGCACCGCCCTTGGTTGTCTTTTCACTTGAGTATTGTTTTTGCAATACCTTTTGCAAAAACTTTCTGCCATTAAAAAGTAAAAAGTTTTTTGAAAAATGCATTTATATAGGATAAGTGAACATTTCTGAGTCATATATTTAAAATTATGAGAGAATACACTTTATTAAGAGTTTTTTTGTGATAAAAATATGTTTGTTAAATATATTAACTCATTAAAATTAGATTTTTTAATTTTTTCAACTCTTTACTGTTGTAATTTATTAAAAAAGTTTGACGGAAAAAGAATGATCGATTTATATAAAATAGTTTGCATAAAACTCAGCTCACTGAAATAAACCTTTGAACTAACTGTAAATAATCGAAAGTGTAATAATGAAAATATTTCTTTTTTAGAATTTTTTATGTAGACTAACGGAAACAATGACAATTCGTCAAAATTTTAAATGGAACATCTCTTGAAATCAATTCAATAGATTAAGTCAGGCTTCCATTGAAAGTGTGTGCAAACATCTTGGTAAACCGTAATATTTAAGATAAGGAGACTATAAGCTAAAAAAATAGCGTTATGCGACTATATAAGTCACTAACAATAATCCGTCGAGAGCCGTGAACAATTTTCGGTGCAAATACGAACACGCAACAGATATAACAAATAGCAAGTAAATAACCGGCGATTTCTATGAATATCTAATGTAAAATAAAAAATACCTAAAATTACGGTTCATAGCATCGGCGATCACATCTCCGATATTGTTGTAATATAATAAGATTTTTTAATCAGCAAATTTTTATTCGCAATTGTTTAATTAAATTCCGTTGTGTAATCCAATACATCGACAACTGTGGAATCAAAATTGTATAGAACGATACTTGTTTTCGAAATGCTTCTTGTATATATGTCAAGTTCTATATTTTTTGAAGTTTTAAGAAAATAATAAAGTTTCGAGTATCAGAACAACGATGTGTTTTATTGTCCAACATTTGCAGGAGAACAAATCTTTTCTGCTTCATCGAGTTTATCTAGCACCTCTACCTTCGAACTTGTTTCATTTTCCCTGTGCGTGAAAAAAATGCAATTAAATGGATGATGTTACAAGTTGCAGTTGCTGGTAAATAAAATCATTACCCTTCGTCGCCCTTGATGATCGAACTCGATGCTGATTCGACGCCGTATGTTTCAGCCTCACTCGATCCGGTGAATCGATTGCTACTCACGAAGGAATCCACCCCGCATGGTTTAATAATTTCATCCTCGCAGGTACACGCGTCATCATCGTCCAACGAGTCGAGCGAAGACTTGTAATAAAATTTTTATCACGCAATCATTATACGCAAGTATGCGCAGATTTTCGGCCTAATTTCGTTCCATCGAATGTCGTGCGAGTTGGAAATAAAATTAGATGAAGTAGACAATCTTACCGTCTCGATGGGAATTTCGGGCTTGGACGGCATCTTATTCCGATCGAAGCGAAGGACGCATCTCGCCCTCCAGGCAGGCACGAGGCCAATCCTCAGCGGCAACGGCTTGAGAATCACGGGCTCGGCTGGTCCCTTGGCGACGCTGACCCTCGAGTTCCCACTCATTTCGGCCGCGGAGGCGCTCGACCCTTCTTCCGAGTACTCCTGTAATGGTCCTCGAATTTCGTTATTTTATTCTCTCTCTATCTCGCTATCTAATTGATTATTAGGATGATTGCTCAGGAATATCGTCGCGCAATTATTACAGCACCGAAATAGAATACATCGAAATGACGTATGCGTGAAATTAAACTCGCTCGCGATTAAAGCATATTATATCTATAAAGAGGTACGAGATTCCCACTTCGCACAAGTCTTCGGAGGAGAAAGATTGATCTAACTCGGACAGGAGAACATAGACACCGTGTTGCATGTAAAGATTCGTCTGAAACACGTAGCAACCCATTCCGTCTGGCTGCAATTAATAAAATACACACTTTTGAGTTTTTGATATTGACATGCTGTCAATAATGTTAATCGTCAAAAAAGTAGCATGAATCGAAATCGTCGCGACAGACTCACAAGATTTCTGTCCCAAATTCCGTGATAGCTATGTTGATCGTGAATGAGTTGGCCCGGGCCCTGCATCCGGTCAGCGTTCCACGTGCCTGCGTACTTGCTTCCGCTGTTGGCGTAGATGTACACACCCAGGCCGTGTCTCAAATCCTGTCGCCAGGCGCCATCGTACACGTCGCCGTTTTGATAATAATAAATCCCCTTGCCGCTTCGTTTGTTCCTTTTCCAGTCGCCTTCGAGTTTAACAAATCGTCACGTCGTCCAAATGAATAAAAAACGAAATATTATGTATCCCGAACGCGCATAATGTTATCGAGACAAGGCAGGAAGTGCGATCGGTTGCGATCGCAGGCGTGGAATATCATGAATTGCGCGCAGCTTCGATATTAGATGCATCGAAAATGCTCGATTCTCTCTCGTGACGGGGTCATCGGGTCGACGGAGTTTTCTCTCTCGCCGTCTCTGCAGCTTCCCCCGTTTTTTTTCTGCATTTCAATCCTCGCACAAGCACGCACGCCAGCCGCGCTTCGAATTTACATTGGTAAATGACGATGCCGATTCGTCTCTCTGGCTCACCTTCGTAACGCGTACCGTCGGGATAGAGAAAGCAGCCGTGTCCGTGCTTGAAGCCGCGTCGCCAGGTGCCGTCGTAGCGCGCCCCGCTCCGGGCGTACACGTAGCAGCCCTTGCCGTGACGCAGGCCGTGATAGTAATTGCCGACGTAGGCATCGCCGCCCGGCAGCTGACATCGGCCGAGGCCGTGGCGCTCGCCCAAACTGTTGCGTTGGCCCTCGTAACGCTGCAAGCCACAAAGGACCAAACGAAATTCGACTCGAGTCTCTATTTATTATCATCGCTCTTTTTACAAGAAATCCCACGTGTTTTTGGACTAGTTTTATTGTTTTTTATCGAGACTTTTTAAACTTTTATTATTCTTACTTTTCTGTGTAAAAGTTTGAAGCAATTGAATGATTTCTAAGAATATTCAAGTCAAGTAAACGAATGTTCAATCAAAATATAACCTAGTTTATGCAATTTTAATTCTCTCTACATCATCATGGGTATACTCACCCCTAACGGATTTTCAGTAGAACTGCTACCTTCTCCTTCATCCTCGTAAGACTCTATTTCGCTCATCTTTTATTGCGAAAATAATGCCTTGCACGTAATTTTTCCTTCTTTTGTGCGACATTAAAAAAAAAAGTACATTGTAATCTTGAAGTTTGACATTATCGACTCTCCAACAGTGTGTGTTATGGTATTTCGATGTTACGTTCGTTGCGCTACGACGAAAAATCGATCGCGCGGAGCTGGCTCTTTTACGAGAGAAAATTCAAAAAGGAACATAAATTCAATATTGTATTTCGTCGCTACAAATAAAAAGTACCAAAGGAGTTTGATTTCATTTTACGATGAATATGGAAATTTTTTTTTCATCAACCTTTAAAAATTCCAGGAAGGCGGAGTTGACAAATAAACTCGTTAAAGTACGAAATACTCAATCAACGAGTATTCACTCGTATAGAGGATTTACACGGTAAAAATACGCTTCAAAAATCAATTCACAAAGAAAAGAAAAAGTTGTAGTCTTTGAGTGTCGAGTTAACTTCACAGCGACTCGTAAACGGACAAAGGACGCCTTGAAAAAAAAATCCTGGCATATTTTATGCGAGATTTCAAAATATCAAATCAAATTCACCTGATATATAACATGCGTACTATATTAGACAATGATAAACTTGAAATTAGATCATATGGCAAAGAAAAAGTGGCACAGATATTTGAATTGCATATGCTGAGAAAGAGCCCGAATGTAGCCAAGTATTTTATTTGTGATTGGTAAAACTTTTATATAACATCAAAGATTATTTTTCGATATAACCTTTTTGTTCTAATAATTCAAATTTCTATTTGAATTGCAAAAATTTGTATTAATAAATTGATTAAATTAGATGATGATGAAAAAATTATAGTGCATTGTATTTTTTTTAAATATTTATTTATATGTTCATATTTACATAAGTTAAACAGTAAACTTATAATTATAAATCAATTATTGAATATTTACATCCAGAAAATTCATTTTACTCACACATACAAGTTCGGTCAGTCCACTCCCAAAAATTTGTATAACGATTATTTAAACGCTATTTAAACGCTCTTTCAAAAATGAAATTTTTGAAGTTGATGCCTGTGAACAGCTAAATTATTTGACGGCTATTATTTCGACGAGAAATAATGTAAATGTATACGTATAAAAACAGATACTGACATAGAATGCATAAACTTGCCTTGAATGAACTACTACTGACAGATTAGTGGACATTATTTCCATAATTGCCGAGCAATTCTGTAAAAAATTTTGAATGAAAAATAAAGAAAAAAAAAGTTTTTTCCTTTAAAACTTTTATATGCAACGTTCATTTATACCTAGCATATATTCATATCATGTGCAGGAATTAATCGACATGAAAAATGTAAAAAAACATCACACAGCATACACAGCAACAGGCAAATCGAGATCATTTCATCTACGGCAACTTGAATAAAAAAAAACATATCCAATCGAATTATTAGTATTGTACTTAAATTTTAGAGCTTTTAACTGCTCATTTAGATCAGAGATCGAAGGACTGGCGGTGAGCATGTATAATACAAACTTAACTCTATTTTCCGGTCAAGAGTCCGATGAGGGCTTGCTTATCCTTCTCCTTCCTGCGCACGGTGTCCAAGTTGCGTGCCTTCCAGCTGCTCTTTCGCAATTTGATAGGTCGCGAGCCTACGTACTTTCCTGAAACACAAAGAATAACAAGAGCTTTTAGTTGTAGGACTCTCGATGACGAATTACAAGTATCGTTATTAATATACACACATATCCGCAGAACAAATAAAGAAAGCAGGATATACGATATCGATCTGCCTCGTGCGCCAAAGTAATATTCTAATTTAACGTTAAGACTATTTGCTCGGTAACGTGGGGGAGGGTAATAATAAGCTATATTGGCTTATGCATATACGAGAGAGGGTAAACTCCTTGGTCTATAACTTGCGCACGAGCTATTGAACTTTCGGCTCAACTCAACGCCCACTGCGCCATGCGTTTATAATCGTCGTGAGTGCGCCAATTATATTAAATTATAATAGATGCTCGAATTTCATGCGTGGTAAGCGCAACCCAGCCGATAAGACGACGGTGCTCCACATTCTATATTCTCCCGCGACTTTTCGGATATTCGTACAACATCCGCGCGAATAAGGACTATCGAGGCTCGTTATGGCAAAGCTCGCTAATCGTTAATATTGAACTAACGAGATCCGAGTGTATGAGTCGAATGAAAAAAAAAGAAGAAAATAATCACCGAAGCGGATTATCGAGCGAATGTATGTTAATCGTGGATCAGCAGTGTAACTTAGATCACAGGGTGCACGGCTCGCCGCCGCAGGCTCGACCGCAGAAGCTGCGGGTGCTCTTGCGGAGCTTGCCAGCTCACCTCATATATCCGTTCAGTTTTTCATCATTTCCACAATAACACGTAGCGTATTCGTCTTTTTATGCACTCGACTAATTTAACAGATTGAACAATGTTTTGGCTTGCTCAAGTTTTGTAATTATTCTATTTTTTGTCGGAAAAATATCGTCGATTGTGTACGAGAACTTTCGCACGTTTACCGCGACTACTTAATCAGTCGGACGTCGGACTATTTGACTTTAATGCTACTAATGTCTTCGGGCTGGCAGAGATTTTCATGGGGCTCTACTTTTTTCTCTTTAAATCTTATCGAGGCAAAGTTTTGACCTTCCATATGCATATTTTCTCGAGACGCGTCGACTGCTTGGATAATTCTATACTGTAACCGATCGAATGAACCTCGCAAGCTCGGATGCGTGAATATTTTTTTCAAAACCTACATAAAAGATAGTCGATCTATAAAATCCCTCTGAACAATCGAAGTTCAGCTTTGGCTCGAAGTTAAAAAAAAGAGAGAGGGTGGCGAAAGTATAAATGCCAGTCTAGCAAAATACATACGATCAAACTGACGTACACACTTTATTGAAAATTCCAAAGCTTTCGAGCGGGCGGTTGACGTAGATTTTTGTCCGATTTGCGCAATCGTGTTACGTACTTGCATTAGGAATCGGTGCAAGCATGTACGTGCATCAAACTTTGAAATTGGCTGTCGCTTTTATTGTCAATATCATTTTTCAATTCCTATCGCTTAATTGGGAAATTAATTGTTTTTTTATTGAATCAACATTTGTAAATCGACGACAATGTCGAAGGCAGAGTAAAAAATGATGAGCGGGGTAAATTAAGTGTGAAAAGTACATGCACCTGTGTGACCAAGTTTTCAAACGACAAAGACATTTCCTAAACACACGAGCCTCTCGAGGTTTTATCTTATAATCTTGTCAATCGAATATACAGCATTTGCTAGCATAGTTGCAACAGCGCAACAGTGCAGCAGCAGTAGCTCGCGATTCTCGAGCAGATAAGCCGATTGGCGTCGAAGTGGTGGAGGGAGGAGGGAAGAGGAGGTTGTGCGCAACGTTTTCTCTCTCTCTCTCTCTCGCGCGCGCGCGCGCGAATGCGTGCTTATAAGACATCGCAGCAAACATTATTGCTATTCACACGCACGTTTTCAGGCGCTCTGTGCCTCTACGCTATATAGTGAAAGAGAGATCCGACCGAGAGGGGGTTGCTTCTGTGAATGAAATGCCGGGGCGTACCTTGGCACTGTGGCATTTCGACGTCTACTTTGCGCGCGTATCGAACTGGCAGCGATTACTCCTTTTCTGATTCTTTTTAACGCCGTTTCACTCGTTAGTACTTGAATAAATTGCCAGTGAGCAAAGTTGAAAAAAAAATTAGAGAGACGAGGTTCTTTGCATGCACCTCTTTTGTTTTGCATTTAATCGGTGCACTCGAACCATACTATTGCATAAACGATAATTGAATCGATGGAGCGATTTTTCTCCCTTACCGTCGATTAGTTTTGAATATTTTAATCTCCATATCGAAACAAGCGACTAACCGGATTGTGAGGATTATTTTTCAATCGACATCAAACATCGAGCTACCCTGAAAATTTGGTTCGATTTTGAAGATTTCTGTTTCGGTAAGTAGAAACATACAATTTTTCTAATAATTTAAGTTATCTCGACAAAGTTGCAAGAATAGTTGAGATGAATTTATGCTCAATTCGATTGATACGAAATAACGAGTAACTTTAAACAATACCGATGAGAAAAAAATTGCATTCAAATCTTGAGCGTGTTGTACAATTAAAGTCGCGTGTCTGATAAAAGAACGCGCTTAAAAAAAGTTTTAATCACCTTTGGCGCCTTCTGAATGAAACACAAGATAACACAAAATACCCTTTTATTATTATCACTGGTAAAAGCTTAAAATATAAACGCATATTTTTACGCAGATACTGATTTTATGAAAAATCATGCAGTATTTGCAGTCTCTCTCTCTCTTTCTCGTTCTTTGAGTTGAATACGCACGAATTTGAAAAAAACCATCATCATGCCTTTGTTTCAAAGAAGTAATTTTTCTCATGTGCTACTGTAACAATATGTAAATGCATGGCTTTGTATTTTATCCAAACAATTTTTTTAATTATCAATAGGGTGTTTAATGAATATCGATATCAAACATGATTCAAATTGCCGATGAATACGCGATAAATAACCACCCAGTGCCCGTTGAAAGAAAACACGCACGCATAAGCAAACTTACAGTTTTATCAACGAGGCACTTATCCTATTTAGTTCAAAAAAATGTTCACTACTCGTTTAATCCAAAAACGTGAGAGCGCTTCACGCGACGATTCCTTGCGCGAGAGCAACGTGCATTGGCGCAACGCAGCGCACAAATGTCTCATTCGAAATGTAATGCAATAATGCATCATGTAAACGCAAGGGCCGAACGCAAGGAGAAATATCAAGTAAACAATAAAAAGAGAAAACGAAGATGAAGATATGTAAAACAATTGCGAATGAGCGCTAAAAATAAATCGCCACATTTAAAAATAACCAGCAATAATCGCGAAGTATCACGCGTTTTTCTCATCGTACATGCCATAATGCGAAATACTAAGTCGTCTTGAGCGGAGAACAAAATAAAAAAGGGAGCGAAGACGACTATCTTTCGCGCTATTGCACACACGCTCGTGCTCGCGCGCCGTACGGCCGCTATCGGCGAACCCTTCGCGCACGAATAATAATTTATTATATAGTTATTAAATTATTGAGCAGCGACGCGCGCGATCGACAACTAATTGCGCTCGGGGCTTACACTTATTGGCGCGCGCGAGCACGATACAGCCGCGAATAAAAAGGGGGCAAGAGCGAATCGAGCGCGCGCGAGCGAGCGATGGCGCCTGCACGGCCCGACCGCCGAAGCGTCTCGTGTGCTTTTTTCCACTTTTTTCTTCCAAGCTACAATCTTTGTTGCTTTGATTGTAGTTTTTTAATCGCAATATGTAGCGACGAGGATCAGCTGACGCACTCGAATCATAATGCACACGATATTTTCACGTGCGAGGAATGTCCAAGTGACACGCGTACGCGTGCACGCTGCCGTATATACATGCAAACAAGTCGCGAGAACGTTATTATTTTTAAAATGCCGAATAACAAGGAAACGATCAAAAATAGCGACTTTCTCGTTCGGGAAATGACTGTAAACTATGCGATGCATACCGCCATATACGGAGCCGATCACTGTCGCGAGCTAGCGTATAGCGCATCTATCTGATCGCGACGAGTTTTTCGCTTCGTGAAAAATCTGTGCGCTTGACGTACATTAAACACTCGACGAATTGCGCAATCGAGCAAACAATGACGCCAATTTCGGTTACAGAATCTCGGCGCAAAGCAAACAACAGCAAGAGGGTAGCGCGCGATGCAAGAGGCTAGAGGAAAAAACATGTCTCCGCGCTGGATGCTACTGATCGGTGCTCTGCTGCTGTCGGACGAGATCAGCTGTATGCCAGCGATTTACGGGCAGAATGCAGCATCGACCTGGAGAGGCAACGCCGTCGACGACAACAACGTGCCTAGTTTCGTCAACGCCCGAGCCACTTCGTCCTGCGATCCCGCCACCAGTCGCTGTTGGCAATGGCTGCCTACGGTCGTCGTGCCTTACATCGACGACGATCAGAATTACGAGCAGGATTCCGATAGGTAAGACGAGCTATTGTCCACTTGGAACTACTTGGTGAAGTTTTGAGAAAAGCAAGTTTTCAAAATTTCATAAAAAATCGTAAAGATAATAATATCAAATGAGTGAAGTATACACAAGATTGCGAGGGCTTCATTCATAACTGCGCGTGGCAGTAGCTATAGTCCGGAGTAATCTCCTTTGACCCGTCGCGCTGCTGCGGGTATTATGTATCGTACAGGTATTTATACGCGTGCAGGAGGCTCGGCTCGGAGGGTGTTGTTTTTCGCTGCACTCTGATATAACTTGGATGTACGTCCTCAATCTTTACGTAAAGCCGGATATATTACTACTACGTTTTTGCGCGTCAGACAATTAGCCACTGGCATCGATTTTTAGGCCTTAATCCATCCGAGGTCTCGACGTAGTCGTCGCGTCGCTCGGTGACGTATACTCTCTCGTCGTCAAGTTCATTCATGCTTTGCTGCTTGTGCGAGATTTTTACTCGCGCGCACCCACGAGGCGCGAAAAGTACAGTTCGTACGTCGTTGCGTGCACGAGGGATGCTAATAAGTATGGAAAATTATATTCCACTCGCTTATCGGCTTTATTTTGCTAAGACCGCGGAGACGATCGCGCGGAGTCGGAAAATTAAATCGACGTGTTGGCTGCAGACAAGCGGAGAAGTTTCGGAAAAAAATCGTCGCGTCGAAAACTGATCACGTTTTCATTATCAGCAAATGCGACATCGTTAGTTACAGTTTACTTCGTTCAGAGATCACGAGACACATAATCTGCACAACGTATACACGCGGCAGCTCGGAAAAATTTTCTCACGCTCTCGAGGGGTTAATATGCACACGAGTGACGCGACGCGTTTTACAGACTCCAGGCATTGCACGTACGAGAAGTCGAACAGGCGAGCAACGCGTGGCCTTACGAGGAGGTGGCCACGACAACGACGACGACGACGACGACTACGATGTCGCCCGTTGGTGCTGCTGCTACTGCTGGGGTGGCTCGAGCTCATCGCGAGCGTCACGCGGTCAGGCCCGCTGGATCTTACACCAAGAAAGACGTATTCATGTCGAGAGGGTGGGGTGCAGCGGGTGGCATGCCTTTCTCCGTGCTCTACATGACTCCCCGAGCTAATCACGGTCCCAACGCAGGTTTGTACATCGTATTTGTTCTTTTTACCCTCTCTTGCGCGATATTTTTTATCGCTCGTGCGCTCGAGCAAAAATTCAATCGGTTCCACGAGTCGACGCGTGGAGTTTCCTCGTCGAGTGCGTTGACTTTTTGCTCGCGCTTGATCGCCGAAACCGTCCTGGCTATTTTCGTGACTTTAATAATCGTCGAGGCTCGCGTGACTATAATACTTGTGACTTCCGGATTACCTCGTTCCACCTCGTTATTATACACCCGATGATTCGATTTTATTTATTAATTGTTCGCCGTTGTAGGCGGTTCTTCGCCGATCTCGCCGGACTTGGCCATCAAAGCGAGCGCACGCACGTCCTCCGTTATCGGCGAGCCTCTGGTCGCGGCATCGATCTCAAGGGCTGAACAACGACCACCAGCTACGAGCAATCAACGATTGGCAGTGCGCGACGGTCAAGCACGTCAACTTCAGCAGCAGCAGCAGCATCAGGCTTACGATCAACAATCGCGACGTCACTACTCTATTATACCTCAGTTATTCATCTCCTACGGCTGGGGTCCGTCCGGCAAGTAAAGCGAAAAAGCAATAAAAAAACAACAACAAAATGAAATTTCGTAACGTGTTGCCGAATATCCAAAGTTTGGACTATTTTTTTTTCTCGCGTGTTGTCGTTGCTATTTAAATTAACAGATAATGCACCTAAACTTTGGAATGTTACGCGTCAGGTATCAAGCATTGAACTGTTGTTTTCGTCGATGAAAAATTACGAATCGAGTCCGATCAAATTGTTAAGATATTTTCAATCGTGGCTAAAAATAGAACCGGCATTTTTTTTGTTATATAAATATAGAAGATTGCGCTCTGTCGCGAATTCGAGGTCAAGGACTGGCGCCCGACGTTTCGTGCTTGCTACCACCACTTGTCGAATTTTTTCGCGCCGAACGTCAGAAAATAATCGCTCTCGCTCTGCCTACACACGAATTTTCACTCACTTACGATGCAGGAAAACATTTAATATTTTAAGGAGAAACACTATCGAGACATTAAAATTACTTTGGTGATATATGATACTAAATATGTATGCGCAACTCTATGTTATTTATATCGCTATAAGGAAAATTTATTGTCGCTTAAAGAAAAAAGAATGGAAAAAACAAACTATCATAAGCCCAAAAAGAGAGAGGGAGAGAGAGAGAGAGAGAGAGAGAGGTATTCAAAGTATAGAAAAATTTCTAACGTGTGTGATTAAAAATGTTGTCAACAAATGCTAGCTCGCTCATGTGATAGTTCATAAGCTTTCAAGCGACTTTTATGCATGTGATGTACAAAAAAAAAACAAAAAAAATTATTCTTGTCGTCGTCTATTTATGTTGAAAAAAAGAAATAAGAAACTACGAATGCGCAAAAGTAAGGTTACTTAGGGGTGAAATTTACGTAATTGCTACGTACGAGACTTTTTTGTTAATATCTCTCATCGTACATTAATTATTATGTATCGGACAACTTCATCCAGAGTATCACTATCGACAGTAGATAGTGGTAGAAGTAATTAACCTATCAACCTTTTACGAAGTCAGCTATGTGCGTTTTTAAAATGATGAGAAATCAGAACTCACGCCGAGCTGATGTTTGTAAAGTTCGAAAATGTATCGAAGATCGTGCGCTTGATTTTGCTTTCGAAACTTCGATCGAAATACGTTTTTTTACTTGCATTGATCATAACGAGAATTAACAAAAAAAAACTATTTTAATTGTTAAATCAAGCACGACGAGATATAATAATTTTGTCACGAAATTAACAAACTATAATGTCAAGTACAATAATTAATTTCAAAATATAACACTCATCGATACTCTTGTCCTATGCAATCTGTTTAGCTTTTCCGTTGTGTCAAAAAGCTGAATACAAAAAGCGGGTTCAACCATTTTTGAAAACTTTACTAGGTATTCAACAATTAATTTTAGAGTTTTGATGAAAATATCGTGTTACTAGTGTTTAATTCCTTAAACTATAAAACTGTTTCATTGGTATACAAATATTCATTATTATTTAAGGTGTGATAAAACTGTCCAATGAAAGCAAAAGATTTCTAACTATAAATAATGTTAATTTAACATCAGAATAAATGTAGTATTAATTGCAAAGTATTATTATAGCATTGTATGAAGTTAGGTTTAATTTCAGTAAGTATATTTTTATCTGCTAATAAATTGGATGGAATTTTTTATACTCTTACGATTCATTTTTTATAGTTTATAAAAAGAAGAAACAAATTTTGTAAATAGTTTTGGTAATCAATTATTCAAATTAATTAAGAGTAAAAATCATTGACATAATAAAAGTTGAAGAGTATTGAATTAAAAGGTTTAATTCAGCTGAGCAACAAGATTTATAAGTAGTCCAATTAAATGAATAAGATTTTGTGTAATGTGAATTATGATTGTATTGAATCATGTTTTTAAAGGAAAAAATACAATCATTGTGCACAACAAATTACCTTGGAAAACTATTTTAATCATGAAAAAGCATAATTTATTTTTGAAATTTATTTGAAACTTACCATTTACTTCTTTCATAGCTTTAATGAAGTCTTGAGGATCCTTAAAAGATACAAAACCAAATCCTTTTGTTTTATTGGTACGTTTGTCTCTAACCACTTTAGCTTTTTGAAAACTCGAATATTTACTGAAGACTCTAACCAACATCTCATCCGTAACATCATTTCCAAGGTCGCCACAAAATATTCTGAAGTCGTCTATAAAAATATGAGTTGGAAATTAACAATTTCACAATGTATTTTAAAACAAGTGGCAAAATTTGAAAATCGATAGTATAAACCAATATTTACCATCATCCCAATCTAATAATGAAGCATCTTCCCAAGTTTGGCCTCCAGCTGTTCGAATGATTTTCTTATTTTTTTTTCCTTTTTTCATAGAATGGGATTCTTCAGCATTAGCATTCGCCATGATTGAACTAGCTTTCCCTTGACTAATAGCTAACTCTGCTGCAGTACTCACCCCTTTTACTTTGGGATTTTTTTTTCCATCGTCATCTGGTTTTTTGGTATGAATCATTTTTTCCAATATATCTCGACGAATTATTGGTGTGGTTTGAGGAGATATATTTGGTAAATAAGATTTGGGCATAGCTGTTAAAATTGGTTCAACAACAGGAGTGTTTATCTGAGCAGGCGATGAGTATGTTGATGGACCTGTGATGAAATATGTAGTTTGTAAATTAAGAAAAAATAAAAATAATGCTACTCAAATATTTGCTTTTAAAACTTACCTTGCCTGGCAACTTGTGCTGGTATCATCATTAAATCTGTTGGAGGAGGAGGCGGAGGAGGAAATCCCATCATTGGAGGATATCTCATATTAGCAGCTGGTATTTCATGTTGTTCCAGTTGCCTGGCGACTTGATTATATGTATTAGCTCCTATGACTGGCCTTGTCATAGGTGAGACTAGTGGTCCTCCAATTTCAGCTTCGAACCTGAAAATCATAATAAATTGTGTAAGATTTATAATAATTTTTTAATATCAGTAGGCTTATGTGAAAGCTCCATAAAATACTATGAAGCTGAAAAGAGTTTTTAGTCTTTCTTATATTATATACCCATTGATAATTTTGTAAATAAACTCGGAATAAAGTTGAAAAACAATAAAGTAAAAAGCACTGGGAAACATGTAACGAACAATTTCATCTACTGTACATGATGAGTAGTAATTGTGAAAACAGTCATCATACGCGATGTAAACAAACGATATTAAATATAAAATGTAGCTAGTAAATGAAAATCAAAATTATTGTATTAATAGTCAATTCACAAATATCCTCAATTGACCAAATTTCTTATTCTTAAAGTGAATTTTTATTTAAAAATACTAAGTGAAGTAATTTCTAGAAAAATATGAGTTTCGAGGTTAGATTACTTACCGACTCATTTCATCTTCCATTTGTCGTAACTTATCCATGTTGTTGATTCGTCAGGTCTACGATATGCCAATCAAGAATATTATAAACTAAAATATTTGGCAAAATGCACAAAATACAAACAGTTTATTCTTTTAGAGATAGGTACTGATCTACAACGTTCGTGAAGTTGACATGCTAGTAATTACGTCCACACTCCACAATGTCTTACAATTGAGCTCCTGCAGGTTCTCTGCAGTAGCGGGCTGTCACTTGACTGATGCCATCTCTGGATAGTGTGACAGACGCAGAGAAAACTGAGGTGAATGTTTTTAAAGCCACAAGACAACAAAATTACAGTGTTATCGACGAATATTTTATTTTAATATACAATAATGAGTCGTTATGAGTGAGTAGACCCACAAATTGATGCATTCTTCAGCACCGCTTTTACAGCCAATACGAGAAAGCTAATAAACTCATCGGGACATCATCGTCTTTTTAAAAGAGGATGTGTAAAATAATTTTTTGATTCAATATTCCAATAAACAAATAATATCGCAGTTCAGAAATGAAATTTTCAGTATTTAGTGTATTTAATTAAAAACAAAATAAAATATATAGAAATATTTTTGTTAAAACTCTGGCTGAATTTTCAGGTGATTTTTAGCAGGAATCGCCTCGATTCCGACTGAATCTTTTGAATTTTTAAGCTCAATTTTAGGCTGAATTTTTGGGCTGAATTTTCTGGATCGGTTTTGGGCTTGATTGCCTATAGTTATATTTTTAAATCCATAAGTCTAACTTTATCATTCATCTTGTATGTTTAATTAAAATATCCCGTCGATCTTATCTAACTGATACATAATTTAACTGTTGAAATAAAAACAAAAATTTTATTGATATAATTTTTTTATTTAAAAAATATTATTTATATAGATTATTATGTACAAATACTGAAGTTCATTAAATTTACTCGTTTACGTTCGTTTACGTTCTTTACGTCACGTTTGTTTACATAAAAAAAGTTTTTCATCGTTACATGCGTTAAAATTTGAGATGAAATCCAGCGCCAATGGCTTGTCGACTGACCGCGCGTCCACCCATGTGAAAACCAGAAGCAACTTCTTCCTCTTTTACGTTTTCCACAGCGTCTAAACATTGGTGTCCACCTCTTGGAGCTTTAGGAGATTGAATAACAGATCGTTTTCCAAATTCTGACTTGGCAGGCCACGTGGGAAATTTTGATGGGTCAATCGGCTCTGGAGACTCGTCGAAGTAACCATGTTCCAATGCTTCTGCCGCTGAGATTCGTCGCTCCGGATCGTAAGTTAAAAATTTTTGGAGTAAATCCATTCCTAATTCTGATAAAATATTGAACTTTTGTCGGATCTTTCCCGCTGGATATTGCCGAAAATTAATTTTTTTGGTAAAAGGCAAATCGCTATACCCTGGCCATATTCGATCGTCTGGCGTTCCTAATTCTTTGAATATTCTGTTTAAAAGGTCGATCTCTGATTTCGCTTGAAAAAGTGGTTGCATTTTGAGTAACTCGGCAAAAATACATCCAACCGACCATACATCGACAGGTGTACTATAAGTTTTACTACCTAGTAGTAATTCTGGAGCTCTATACCACAATGTTACAACGAGTGAGGTATATGGTTTTATCGGAGATCCATATTCTCTAGCTAGGCCGAAATCACCAACCTTCAAAATTCCGTTATGACTGAGTAATAAATTTGATGTTTTGAGATCTCTATGGAGAATCCAATTGTCGTGTATATGTGCTACCGCTCGCAACAGTTGTTGCGTCAAACATTTAACTTCGCTCTCAAGAAATACTTGATGATTCTCTTTCATGGTGTCCATTAGAGATTTCAAATCGTGTTCCACGTAATCCATAACCATGTATATTTTCTCTGTATTATTTCCGATAACGATTTCTCGAACAGTAACAATATTGGGATGCTGAGCTTTTAAAAGCGTATTCACTTCACGCAAACTTGTAATTGGAAAACCACAGTCATCAGCACCATTTTCCAGCAGTTTCAATTTTTTCAGAGCGAATATCTCTTTAGTTCTCTTATCTTGTGCTCTATAGACAACACCAAAAGTTCCTTCTGCTATACGATTTAAACATTTGTATTCTTCAACGCTACGAGCTCCTTGGATACCCGGTAAATAAGGTGGCAACTCGTCGAACAAGGAGTTATTATCGTCTATGTCATTGTCGATGTCAAGAAATTCACCATCAGAATTTTCATTGAAAAAAGAAGATCCAACACTAGATTCGTCTGATAAATTTCTGGTTTGATCTGCGCTAACTGGACTCGAATTCGTTTCGTTTACTGAAGGGAAACTAGGCGAATGATCATTATCTGAATTTGATTCTTTACTCTTTTCAGATAATTCAGAATTGTCTTTCACGATGCTAGAACTAGAACTCGAATCAATTGAATCATCTGAATCGTTTCTCTTCTCTTCGTGAGAACTAGTTGAATTACGGCTGCTTGAATTGCTCGAAGTTGAGTGAACTGATCGGACACTGTTATCTGGAAGATCTCGTCGTTCGATTTTTTCACGATCGATCCGTTCTCTCTCCTTGCCTTGTCGATCTCGCCTCGTGCGACTTTCGTGGCGATGAGAAGATCTGAAAATAATATATACAATTTATTCAAATTCATTGATTATAAGAGTATATTAATAATTTAAAAAATATATAATAATATTAAGACGTGAAGGCAGACCAACATTGAATTTGTCAATTTCGTTTTTTTAAACTTTTATTGAATATTTCTTTAAAAGGCTTTATGGTGAACATCATTTTGATGTACTTGAAGTCACCGTAGAAATTAAAAAAAAAAATTTAATAAAAATTCAAAAATTAAAATAGCATTACACGTTTTCATTTTTGGCTAATTTGTCTGAGCATCCATCACGTCTGGGACGGGCATATTTTCGATACTTTTTTGAACCGTTGTACTTTTGCTGAAAATTCGGTCTAGAGAACTTGAGAGTAACAAACAAGTCAAAAGTACGCATGTTTTTATAAAAAAAAACGTGATTTCGAAAAAATATTTTCGCTTTTCGAATTTTCACATGAACATCTTTTAGATCCTGGCGTCTTCGGTACAAATAAAGCGTCCATGGGTCCTAATTATTTTAAAGTTATGATGATTCCAATTAGTGAAATATGATTTTAAGTACACAAAATGGCGACAAGAACATGAAAATATATAAGAAAATTATTTATAAGAAAACCCATTGACGCTTTATTTGTACATAAGACGTCAGGATATAATAGATTTTCATGCGAAAATTTGGAAAGAAAAGGAAATTGTTTTTTTTCGAGATCACGTATTTTTTAGATGATTCATAACTTTTGACCTTTTTATTATGTCGAAAATCTGACACCATATTAAGAAAATTCACTAAATTTTGCGTAGAAAAAAAGTATCAAAAATGTGCCCGTCTTAGACTTAAGGGTTTATAGTATATTAACGCCTCATCGCGAAAAACAGAAAAATCCCAGGGTATGTGTAATTCCCGGCTGAGTCGAAGCTGAGGTTTTCACATATTTTTTGCGGGTCTGTTAAATATTTTTCATTCCCCGTGTCCCGAAAAAATATTTTGTAAATAATCCTACATTATTAATATACTAATTCTTTTTTGTCATACTTAAGACATAAATTAGGACTTTTTAAGAAACAGAAAATAGTAGTAAAAAAGTAACATTTTTAATTTAAAGCAAAAGTGTTCTAATTGTGATCCCGGATTCTGAAAAAGCGTTAAATTAAATGTAAAAAATTTTCTCTACGAGATTTAGCGAGATCGATATCATTAAAAACGTCGCGTTAAAAGTTTACACAAAAATACGATCACTCATGAATTCAACTCTGTTCAAAGATTACCTTTTTTACTGATAAAAAATAATGTTTGGATTCCCAAAAACTGTAATTTGAAATTTATGTCTCTTTTAAAATTTACTGACCATTGAAAGCAACATCGAATTCATGAGAGTCATCACGATGAGAGTGTCGATAAATCAGTTATCTTACTTTTTAACGGAGCCAATACGTTAAATAAATTAAGGTCATTTCAATTACGCGCTGAAATGAAAATAAAACATGTCGTCTGTTCCGCTTCCGATGACGATTTGACTTCTCATTCCAGAAAATTCTCTTTTTTTCGTTTGACTACAAAAATTTTATTTTTTTCTGTTTCAACTCGTTTTAGGCGGTACGCCGCGAGAAAGATAAAATTTTCATTTTTAAAGCCTGTACAGTTAGTCTGCATTCTGTATAATGTTCTGTATATAGTTTTTTTGAAACTTTCATAAATATTTGAACACTTTTGTAGAAATTATTTTAATAAAAGGATTCTTAGATTATTTTAAAATTTAACGTAGTTGGAAATAATTTAGTGGCTATTTGGATTGATTATTCAGTAGACCGGGTCGTTTTTGAAAAAATTTTTTGTATCGCCTGGGCTCATGGCTGAGCTGAAAGTTCAAAGTTTCAGATGAAAAAAGCCGGGCTGCAGCAGTCAAAAAAGTGACCGGAACCGGTGTCGATAGGCGTTTGAAGTTTAAAAACGTGCTTCGGAAATTTAGCAAAATCGCTCTGAAAATGGCAATCATATAATAGATTGCTAACATTGCTCAGAAGGTAAAATTTATGTCGACAAGACGTTTTCTTACGTATTTTTTTCAATGAAATCGTCCTCCTAGGTCAAAACTGACTACGGAATTCGATTCTACACACAAAAATACGTAAGAAAACGTCTTGTCGACATAAATTTTACCTTCTGAGCAATATTAGCAATCTATTATATGATTGCCATTTTCAGAGCGATTTTGCTAAATTTCCGAAGCACGTTTTTAAACTTCAAACGCCTATCGACACCGGTTCCGGTCACTTTTTTGACTTCTGCAGCCCGGCTTTTTTCATCTGAAACCTTAAACTTTCAGCTCAGCTATGAGCCCAGGCGATACAAAATAGTATATTATGATACGTGTGACTTAAATGTGTGATTAAACGTTTCATTGAATCAATAAATTTTTTTTCTCAGCGCACGTGATCGTGTCTAGCTGACCTGAATAATAGACCGGGTCGTTTTTGAATAGTATATTATGATACGTGTGACTTAAGCAGGCCATTATTGCACGGCACGGTTAGCACCCGAGCGAAGCGAGTGCCGTGCAATAATGGCCTGCTTAAGTCACACGTATCATAATATACTATTCAAAAACGACCCGGTCTATTATTCAGGTCAGCTAGACACGATCACGTGCGCTGAGAAAAAAAATTTATTGATTCAATGAAACGTTTAATTGAATACAATCTATGAAATAATTCATTTATCCAACAAAATATTTAATTGTTTTCATGAAACTTTGGTAAAAACAATTAAATATTTTGTTGGATGAAATAAAAAAAAGATTATTTCAATGAAATTATTTCATAGATTGTATTCAATTAAACGTTTCATTGAATCAATGAATTTTTTTTCTCAGTGTGGTCCGATTCGGTTTTCTTGTGGAAGCGTTGCCACGTGGTTTTAACTCAGGTAAACATGTGTTCTACGAAATAAAAAAATCGAGGATTTTCAATTAATCTTTTAGAATAATTGAATTTACATTCGATTAGATTATCAGGAGACCTCGTGAAAGCTTAAAATCGTAGGCACCGCATCTTCAAAAATAAATCTAGGCAAGCATAATCTACGTTAAAATAAATTCAATTATTTTCAATAACTTCAAAAAATAGAAAATTGGCATATTTTTTACCTTCTTCGGTGTCTGTCTGTACTTGAAGATCGAGAACGCGATCTCTGCCGCCTTTTACTTTCGTGATGAGAAGGTTCTCGTCTTCTTCTTGAGGATTCGGAACGTTGATATCTCCTGTGGCGTATTTCTCTGTGTTCAGTATTTCGTTCCGAGCGGCTATAATGACGGTGGGAAGAACTCCTTCTCCTCTCTTCATATGGAGAACGATTTCTGACTCTTCTTTCCATAATTGATACAATTAAATTGAATAATTTCACTTAAAAATTTTTTGAAGCTTGAATACAAGTATGTAACAGTTGAGCAGTATCTAAGGCACAAGCGACTGGTGTGTAGTGTACCGATCGAAAGCCACACGTAGACTGAGCCAGGGCTTTCTCTATGATTGAACTATCACATTTGTAAGAACTTAAAAAGCCGGTGGAGGCGGAGTCGTCGCTGGTATAACAGTGGTGGGGATACAGATAGATTACAACACTCTAGACGACGTGCATGTGTGTAAAAGATGACCTGTACCGACTTATGTACCGATATTATAGCGACATTGCGGCATTATACCGACTTTACCGACTTTCATTAATATTTTCAAATGAAAAAATTGACAATAACACATTTTTTTTGAAATATTGCAAAAACAATTTTTTTTGTTTTTTCTTGTGATAGAAGTATTTATTTGATCGAATTTATCAGCCTTAATCATGAAAGGAAAGTAGATACGCTTTTATTAAAAACCAAAAACATAAGGATTCATTAAATACTTTAAAAGTTTAAAAGTTAAACTTCAAAAATGAAAGGTCATTTTTTTGCGTATTGCACGAGGCCGTTCTGTAGTGAGCTTAAAAGTGAGTTTTGAACCAGGCGTTGTTGGACAATTTTGTTTACTTCTTTCTGTCTAAAATTTTAGGTGCATAATATTATTAATGCTCTTTATTATTACGAGCTAACTCGATAGAAAATGTATTGAATTTAAAAAGACTTTTATACGTTCAGTGTCCCATAATTTAATAAAAAAAATTTGTTGCGATACTATTGCAAAGCTAAAATTTGCGAAAGCAATGATAAATAAACTGATCGAAAATCCATAGAGTTGAACTATACAATAACAATGGCATTTTGCATATAAAAGGGAAAAAATAATTTAGACTCTCTTGGGCTTGAAAAGGCTGTACTATGGGGCGCTGGATGTGTACCTCGATTTTTTAGCGCTTGTCGTGGCTAACATACCTACTTAGATCCAAATTATATAAATACCATTCTTTTAAGTGATTAGTTAAAAATATATTATTTTTAAAATACATATTAACAGATGGCCGTAAAAAGTACGAAATTCGAGTAAAATTGGCTGAATATATGAAAATGTATTGAAAAATATTTTAAAGCAAATTTTGAATGTTTGTCGCGACTTGAGACCTAACGGGTACTACCAACTTCAGTCGTAACAGCGCAGTGCGCAGTGCGCGTGTTTCGACAGTTGGTATTATACACATAGCAGACGTGTTTGTTGTCGTTGTCACGCGTATATGTGTATCAGTAATAATATTAAAAATGAATCTGTTCCGTTCAACATTTTTGGTTTCTTTGATTTTATGTTTCTTTCTGAGCAGCAGTCATGCTGAAACTGAGGAGGATACGTCCACGGACTTATACGTGATCGAGGGTAAAGTTTTTGGTTGGGAAAACTCAGCAAACTCAGGATGGCAGCTAATGACTCACGTCATGGCCAACGGAGGCGAGCATTACGGATTCCTCAGGTATACAGATTATTGTTGATTTTCAAAGTCTTGTTTTATATCTAGTTTTGTAAGATGGTAATTTATGAATAATCTTTATAGCGTTTGCTTAGTAAAATTATATCTGTGTCGAATAATGTATTGGATATCATTTTTAATTAATTTAGTTATAATAATTGAATGGTTGAACATTCACAACAAACAATAGTTGTCAGTCATGCTAATAACCAAACAAAAATGATATTATGTATAAATATTTTAATTAAATAAACATTTGATTTACAGGGAAGATGGAACATTTGCCATTTCTAACGTACCCCATGGTTCATACATTGTAGAAGTTGTTAACCCCAACTATGCTTATGAGCCTATTAGAGTAGAAATTAATTCCAAGGGAAAATTCAGAGCAAGAAAAGTCAATTTAATACAAACATCTCAAGTAATACAAGTACCATATCCATTGAAAATGAGACCATTAGCGCCATTCAGGTATTTCCAAGTTAGAGAGCAATGGAGAGTGACTGACTTCTTATTCAATCCAATGGTAAGTAATTTACAGTTATTTAAAATTGAATTTGCATCATAATTGTTACATTTCATTAATGTGTTTTATTTTTCCCACAGATTCTCATGATGATTGTACCTCTCTTACTCGTTATGGTTTTACCTAAATTAATAAATGATCCTGAAACTAAAAAGGTAAAAATTTTTGTTTTTACTTTTTAAATTCAACTGAATTGAAAGAGCCTCATTTTAATAAAAAGTAAGTTTAAACTTATCAAAAAGTTATAATATGAATTATTTTCTGCAGGAAATGGAGCAGTTGAACAGTTTAACAAATTACAATATGCCAGAAATGTCGGAGTTGATAACTAGTTTTCTATCAGGAGGAGAAAAGCAGAAGCAGAAACCAGTGAAATATTCCAAAGTGAAAACAAAGTAAATTACTGTTTGTTTTATATTTCTAGTCTCAAATGAATTTTATAGTAGCATTTTAAAATGCAATTCACATTTGATACAAAAATAAGGATCACCATTCTTGTTTTTACAACTGTATATAATTCATAAAGTGTGTATTAGAAAAATTAGGATGGGTTATCACAATACTAATGAATGCTTGTCAGCAGCTCTTGTTACATTTGGAATGATCGTTTTTATTATTTCACTTTGTTAATCGACCAAATGATTAAAAATTTCAATGTATGTAAAACTTGAAATGAATTTTATCGTACTACTTTAAATTAGAGAATTACAATTCATTGACTAGCCTAAATTGTATGATTCACTGTTTTTAAAAATTATATAAATGTTTGTATCTCTTAAATCGAATGTCTACTTTTATTTTATGTATTTAGAGTTACCAACGCATAACTAACTCATCGAATTAGATTTATTTTCACGTCATTGGGAAGATTTTGATTACATAATCTGGTCCTTATAATTCAATCGTCTTGTCCAGTGTAGGTATCTCGTATTTGTGCGTCAAAAAAACACTTCTTCGATTTTGACAAATCAGTTTTAATAAGGAGACAAACGATACGAGGATGTTCTCTGCAATATTCTCAGATATACATATGGGAGAAATATTGCAGCTACGGCGCCGCCACCTATATAGAGACTTAAAAAAGCCATATTTCATCGCTAGTAACGATGCTGATTTCGCTGGTAAAGACTGGAGAATAGGGACCCACCGGCGATGATCACACGCACGCGCCGCACAAGGAGGGAGAAAAAGAGATGCAAATGTCGATAATACGCCGCATACAAAGGTGTCGGGCCTTTGCTAATTTCGCGCGAATAGAAGGAGGCTAATACAGGCGGTGTCCACCGCGCAGAGTGAAAATTGTCAACGTCCATATAGACATGTGAGCGCGGCTTATTACGACGGCAATATATCGCCGAGTGAAAATAATCTGCATAAAGGCACGTTTACCACTGGGTCGGGGCCGCTACAGGTGGTACAATATCTGCGACCGCTGACCACCCATGTGATTTCTTATTCTGCGAGTGTGTATAATAATACCGAGAATGCAGATCGGAAATTTGAAAAAAAGGACATTATCAAGAGAGATCGAGAGAAAGAGTCGACACCTTTTCTCGCGGCGGCGACGCATAAAACACGATAAATATATAGTTATCGCATTTTGCGTCCGATCCTATGTAGCAGGCGCTTCGCTTGCTTTTAACTTTGTGGTTCTTTCAACGTTTACCAGAGAGCAGATAACGTCTTCTTTTCCTTAATTTTAGATTGTGCCTATCGAATGTTATATTTCAGATAAAGAACACCGGCACAGAGTTTTTGGTCAATTTTACTAAGTAAGTAATTTTGAATCGCGTTCAGCCCTATTAATTTTGGACGTTGGATTTTTTTACTTGATTAATTTAGTACTGTAGTATGTGCTTTATTATAGATCGACATTTTGTAATGATAAACGATAAAACTACTTTCTAGAAAAATATAATTTAACGAGCTAGAGAAAGTATCAATTAAGCAATAGTTTTATTATTAATATATCGATAATATATTAATAGTCTTTTTCGTTTGATCAGGTAGAGCGAGAAAAAATTTAGATAAAGTTTTCGTTTCACGCATATAATTCGTATACAAATTAGTTACCCAATAAGAGAAAATGATAAAAATCGTATCGGTTCAAAAGGTGGCATTGGTGGTCTATCCGAAACAAACAAAATAGTGAAAAAAAAAATAAATAAAAGCACTAAATCGATAATAATCTGCCCGATCCGCATATGTATACATTATTAAATGCGAGTGTCATCTTTGCCGCCTGTATTGCCACCCGCGGGTATACGCGCCTAAAAACGTGTGTAAAAGCACACCCGCGGTGGCCGATCGTTACCATTTTATTATTATTATTATTGACATCTAACCGTATCCTTTTTACTATATTCATGTTATCCCAACATAGGTGGGCCCAACCGAAAAGGTTTCACGTGTCTAACGATATTCATAAGTATTATATGCACTTTTTTCGGACAGCGGTGTATAATCGTAAAAATACAACTGAATTTACTCGCATGGATGGTCGAAATCAATCTTGAACACGTGTGCCGCCTCAACAATCATCTTCGACGATGTATCTGTGCGCTTCCTTTGTTTTTAATCAAGATGTCTTGGAAAAAATCGATCGAACGTTTTTTATTTTCAACGACAGCTACCTTTGCGATTCAATCATTCAAAAGAGTTATATTTTTTACATATACGAGTGATTCTGACTAACTTTTAAAATAACGCCTAAAAAAATTTTTGATGAAAAATTTAACGGCACAGTATCCGGAATGAATTTTTCTTGAATATTATCAACAAAGAATCCCAAAAATAATAATTCAATTGTAAAATATTTCCATAATTCGAATGCACCGATATTATCATTATTATTCATATACAGACTAAATAAATCGTAAATTCGTAAATCCACTTGATAAAACCAAAAATGAACAAAGGAATGCGTATTATGTAGGCAGGTTGCAACGCGAGGTGGAGAACTCAGCGCTTGGTCAAGAGAAAAAAAAGACAAGCAGTGGCCCACTATCCCACGCCCGAGCTCTATAATCGTTGCGCGTGGCTCGACTTTGGGGTTGCTGCTGCCGCACGAGTTCATCGCCTCGGGCTCTAAGCGTGTACGCAATATGCACGAAGCATACTAATTCCATTGGAATTTCAAGCAATGTAATAAGTTGATTGAAAAAGCTTCATGTCGTTTGCAGAGATATTTAATGTATTGCAGAAAAGAAGTCAAATGATTTTGTAATTTTTGCTCGATAACTTTTTACAGTTGAATGCAATCAAATTAAAAATCCACACTTGAAAATCACCAGTTCAAAAACTACCAAGCATAGTTCAAAAAATAATTACAAGTTTTTAGCAATTTAATGTAGAAAAATTACATCTAAATTAGCTCTACTTGCAAGCGACGAGGAATGTATCGACTCTAAGCGTTTCGTGGCTCTCCGTCTTGTCTTTCAGAGATTTTTCGGCAATCGCAACAAGTGTGTGTGCGTGTGTGGGCGCGCGGGCGAAGGCACGCGAGCAGCCACGCGATGATTCAGCGGCAAAGGATGCGAGAAAAACGCGCGCTCGATTCGGCTCGGCTTGGTGCATATACAGCGGTGTATAGTACATAACAAGCGCTGGAGGCTCTCCGCGGAGCTGCATTCGACTCGAAGTCCACTGCCCACGCACAATGAGCCACCGATACGTCTAATTCCTCCGGCCGCGCTCACGTGCCGGTTTCCGGGAATCCTTCCGTTTTTCTCTCCTCCCTTCGGGCGCGATTCGCACACTCGAGAGAGCTTATAAGTTTGCTCCGCTTCTTTTTTTCTCGTTCTCTTTCGCTATATACTCGACTCATACTTTAGCGATGACTCGGCGCTGCTGCTGCAAAGTGTGAAGGCGCTTCGTTCATCTTTGATGTCGCGCGTCGGTGTACATGCGCTCGTGTGTATAGGAGCACGCGAATGTGGAACAAGAGGAAAAGAGAAAGAGAAAAGAGGGAAAAATGTCGGAGGCCGGGGGGAAAACCGACTCGTCGTGGTAGCGTTGTGCCAAGATCTAGGCGCCACCTCGGCCGCTCGAGTAATCGAGGCGATGCGTGCGTGCCCACGCGCTAATTTCGACCGTAAGGACGCGCGATTCCGGAAGGCACGCGCGGGACGGAAGCTCGTGCGCGTATAGTACGCGACATATTTGTGGCATTGGCGCGCGGGCACGCGAGTTAAGTTTTCGTCACGGCCTGCAGTGGACCCGGTCGAATATAGCTTTAGCGCTGGCGCCATCCCCCCGCAGATTGGCCGGAGATCGCGCGCCACAACTGAACGTACACACAAGCGCCAGCCGCGTTTCGGCGCGCGATTTATTTTCAGCTCTCGCGTGCAGCAGCCTCCCATGCGCATCCCAGCACGGGCGTTATCTAATAGCCTCTCTCTCTCGCTCTCGCTCTGATGATATTTTCTCGAGGCAAATGTCGTTGCGCGCGTGACGCGAAGCGTGCCGAATGTCGCCTGTTATATTTCAGTTGAAGGAGAATAAACGACAAGATGGATGAGATATGTGCGCCCGCCCGTGTGTTTGTAATAATATAACGTTTGTTTGAGCTTTCCACGGACCACAAACGCGCGCCCGAGTTCAGTGAGTAATACAACGCAGTTCGTGGCTCGGGGGCCAATTAATTGTGTAAATTTGGCGCACGAGCGAGCCCCGAGTCGAGCTTACGGCTGCTGCGTTTCGCTCATTTTGCATACGGTAAAAATCATTATGCTCGCGCCGACTCTGCGACAAAATTCTCCCGTCGATTAATTATATAATCTCTTTCTCTCTCGCCTGCTGGCTGTAGCATCTATTTCTTGAAAATATTACAAGACTGAGAAGACGCTTCCTCCGCTGGGTTGAGAGGGAGCGAGGCTAAAAAGGGTTTATCGAGAAGAAGCGCATAAATCGTAGTACACTCGCTGCAATACTAGTCCTCTATACGCTTCAATTCTTTTTTCGCTCAACTTTTGCCGGAATCGTTTTTTCTTTTTGGCTTTATGCTTCGTTTCCGAGTAAAAACGCACCGAGAGAGAGAGAAAGAGAGAGATTTGCCTAGCGATTAGTGTAGTGGCTAGAATATTATTGCCGCTTATAGGTAAGTATACGCGGACGCGCAAAAAAAGAAAGAACCGAAAGAAGCCATCGCTGACGACGTAACTTAAGCCGGCAGCTGGGCACTTCTATGTTCAATAGCTTTCAATAGGACTTGAATAAAACGATTAATTTACGAATCGATCCTTGTAATATGTCTTGTATTGTAGAAGCATACTACGGCACGTGTTCGGCTGCGAATAATTCAATACTAAATTGGAAAGAAAGATATAGGTATTAAAATGCTTTTTCGCGGGTAGACTTGGCGATCGCTCATCCTTTTTCACTTGCAAATTGGATGAATTCATTATTTCATTCCTTGCTGAGTTATTACAATTTGATGAAATTAAATTAGCGATTAACCGCATGTTACGATTGATCATACGTTATGTTTCATACAAATTGCATGGAAATTTATACAAATTCATTTATGATAATTGTTCAATTAATTTTTCAATATACTCATTGAATTTATGCACTGAACACAATTTTGATATCGTATTAAAAGAAAAAAGTCATTTCATTACTAATTCGCTCAACTATGAAGTCGCAACTTTTTACGTATTGACTTTTGCACGCGCACGTAAATATTTATTTTGCATCCTACATTTCTCAGTGCCAATGAAAATTGCTCCTTTGATAAATTGAGTATAATCTTTCGAGAGTGAAAACAAAAATATTCGTCAACTAGAAATCGTTTTCTCCCTCCAATCGAATAAACCCTTATCTATATCGTTATTCTTGAAAAAAACAAAGTCTCTCTCTGAATCTGTCGCAGATTGGCTTTTATATACCTGTGTATCATATACGTAGTACAGGTACACTTTGGCAACTCCCACCGCACACATCATCATCAGCATCCCCACTCGGCTCCTCTCTTTCTCTCTCTCTCTCTCTCTCTCGAGATGCGAATGATCGTGTGGCGTTGGTGCTAAAAATCTTCTTTACCCTTGTTATATTACGTTCTATATATATGTGCGTGTGGAGTCTTATATACAAAATACGCGCGTGCCGCTTTGGACGTGTATATAGGTATAAGCTCTTGAATGGGCCAAACCGATGCTGCGCTGCAGCTTCTTCTCGCACTTGCTGTTTAGCGTCAATCCAGTCGTTGGACTTGCCTGAATGAAGGAGCACCAGTAACAGCACGTGGCTCCGCAAAAACGTGTTCGCAACGCACACGCGCACGATTTAAGCCACGTTTGCGCGCCAATATCCGACTTTTGCAATTGTTGCATCGCGACTGCTTTTATATGCTTTCGTCGTCCTACCGAAAGCTGATGAACTCGAGTGCTGTTGTGCGTCGAAATATCGGCTTATAGTTTAAAAGAGAGAAAATGAACTTGTGCGGGATATATGAACTAAATACAGTGCACGAAACGAAAAGCCGTTGAATCGGTGCAACTGGAAAACGAGTACATTATACATGGGAAAATCCGGAAGCGGATGACTCGAGTTTGCGGTCAATGCGGCATTTCCTGGTATACTAACTGAGTCGATCGCGCAGGACCATCTCTTTGTTACAAGCAAAGGATCAACTGGTTTTCCTATATATAAATATACGCGTTGATGAATCAGCCGGCCCAGACATGACGGCCACACATTCGCCCCTGTCAGTCGAGTCGGGACTGACCGATGATAATTGCTTATTCTACGCCTCGGTGATCGACTCGTCGTTCGATTCAGGTTATCGTTTACAGGTAATCATCATTTTTTCTATCATATATTTCATACAGCTTGTCAAAGTCTTTTGTGAGAGAATATGCGGAATAATTTGATAAAACTGAACAATAGTACGGAACAATGCACGATGCTCAATGTACAAAGGGTTATACGCGGAACGTGCAGTTTCTTGTGTCACTCGTATACTTAATACCTGTTGAATCGTAGTGGGGTTCGGGACGATCGAGGGGTGAAGGGATCCGATGCGCCCTTGGCTCTACATTTCAGACAAGGGCAAGCAAAATAATGCAGATAAGAGCTATACATAGAGATCAGCTTTCTAATATTGCAAAGCCACCAAAGAGCTTTGTTCCAGCTGAGGCTGGACTAGTGTAATTATTTGAGCTTGACAATGTAAATACTGCGGGGGTTGGCTTCGTCTTTTCCTTTTGACCTACCGATAATATTTTTAGATTAAATTAATGTGATTGTCATGGTGCATACATTAATTAAAACGCAAGTGCTTCTTTCCAATTGTTTGCTAAACTCTCAAAATAAATCAGACGAGGTATTGATAAAAGTAATGCTGATATATTTTACTACAACTTCACATAGAAAAATTGTAAGTTTATAATAATACACTCGGCAACAAAATTATCGCAACAAAAAATTTCATCGAAACTTTGTCGATTTTCGAATGCTTCTATCTATTTATCGTATAAACACGATTTCTTTTCGATTTCTTTGAAATTTTGTCCTTTTTCAATCCATATATATTATGATAAGATTCGAGTCAATATCAACTTACCAGTAGTATTTGAGTGCAACGCTAAAAATTACTGGGAAAAATTGATTGTTTGAACGTGTACTAGTACCACAGTAATTTTTTTATTGAAATCTTACATACACCACCGCAAAGTACTCTTTTCAACGAGTAATTTAAAAATAGAGCTCTCTACGATTTTTTTAACGACCAGTAGGTCGTTTTCAAGGTACCATTTAAAGTACGTAAAATCTCTCTTTTAGCTGAAATCAACACGATTTTCTGGGCAAAACGACCTACAGGGAGTTAAAAAAATCGTAGAAAGCTCTATTTTTTTGAAATTACTCGCTGAAAAGAGTACTTTGCGGTAGTGTCTGTAAGATTTCAATAAAAAAATTCCTGTGGTACTGTGGTACACGTTCAAACAATCAATTTCTTCCAGTAATTTTTAGTGTTGCGCTCAAATACTACTGGTAACTCGATATTGACTCGAATTTAATCATAGTATATATGGATTTAAAGAGGACAAAATTAGCAAGAAATCAAAAAAAATTCGTGTCGATACGATAAATATAGCCCAAGATAGAAGCATTTGAAAATCGACAAAGTTCTGAAGAATTTTTGGTTGCGATAATCTTGTTGCCGAGTGTATAAATAATAAATAAAATATTCAACTATGGAGGCTTTGATGCATTTTGATTTTTTTGCAAACTATGTACAATAAAAAAAGTCTATTTATTTTAACTATCTGAAGAACCAAATAAACAATTTTTTTATCAATATTTATGATAATTCCTCTTACTTGATACTTATTTAAGTGTATATGAAATTTATAGAATAAAATATGTTATTTTAATAAATGTATTTCATTGAATAATACATACAGTTGATCACAAATATTGCAATGAGACAAAAAGTTTCTGCGATCATAAAAAAAAAAATAAAACTACTTTTTATTTTGTACAAAAATTTTTTTAAATGTCAATCGTTTTCTAATAATTATTTAATAGAACATTTCCCAAACAAAATCTCGAATATCTCTCGATTGTCTTTCGTCGCTTCGAATCGATCCTCTTGTAAACACAGTTTGAAACAATCAGTCGTAATTATAAGTGATCTTAGTTTAAAAGTGTAACTAATTGTTTGTATCTTTGAAAGATGCTATAGTATAGTAAAATTTCCATGAAATTATAAAACTGTTATCCATGTGTATCAGCAATCTCTACGCGGCGGTAATCATTTTAAGAATAAAAAATCCTCTTTCAACTCTGCTTTTAAAAAAGGCGTCGCATTTGTATGTATGTGTTTTTTTTCATTTTACAGCCATCGGACTCGTCGTTGTATTACGCGTCGAGCTCCTCAGAAGCCTCGTCACCGCTTCTCGATGCATCTACCAGCTACAACATCGAGTTCGACCGCGGCAGCGAAGGCGACGTGTCGTCGACACCCCCGAGTAGTTCGCACACCAGCGACGATTGTCCCTTCAATATCGACTTTGCGCTGAGCTTGAACGACGCCGCACTCGAGGACGATGTCGATGATTCCGGTTCGGTGGGAAAAGGAAATGGAAGGACTGTGAGTGGAGAGGTCGAGAAGGAGGACGATCGAACTGGTCAGTCGCCACAGCAGCAGGTTCTACTGCCATCGGGTGAGTGGGGCACACAAAAATTGTTGCTTGGCGCTTTAACGTCTTCCCCCCCGTGAGCTTGCTACAATGTCGCAAGTTGGTGAAAACTTGCGAGACTAGACTGGACAGTCTATGCAGTCGTGATTTCTCGCGGTCCGCAAGTGGTCTCGTTAAACCTGATATCGAGTTGAAATTGCATTTCATCGAGCACATTTATACGTTTGACGTTTCGGAACTCGGGGACCAGTTTATGCGGTCAACAAAACCTGTGGCCGAGGTTCCCGCGATCGTGCGCATGGTCCCGTAGCTGGATTTTGCTATTTATCTATTACACAAATCGCGTACGTCTGTGTGTGATTTCTACGGTCCCGGCTGGGAAACAAATTTTTAAACCATACTTTGGGAAAGTTTGACCGATAGCGAGTTTTAAAAAATAACGCTTCTGTATGGACATTCACGATCGTGCGAACCTTTTACTCGAGCCATTGCATTTAGTACATAATCGTCGAACGAACAAAACTAGATTTATACAAGCACAGCCCGTTTTGTTATTAAAAACGAGTTGGCCGCGAAAATACGCGTTTGTAAAATGCGACTCATTGAAATTCGTGCGTCTATCCGCAGATCCGTTGGAATGGAGCGCCAAGCACGTGAGCAGCTGGCTGAGCTGGTGCGCCGGTGCGTTCGGCCTGCAACCGGCCCCCGAGCCGGATCTGCTCGCGGGTCTACTGGGCCGCGACCTGCTCAAGTGGAGCCTCTGCAAGTGGATGGAGGTAGCGCCGAGCGCCGGACGTGTGCTGGCCCGTCATCTCGGCTTTCTCAGGCTGCAGTCGTCCGGCCAACAGACCGAGGCCCTGAAACAGATCGAAGCCGATCATGCAGGTGAGTAAGGAGCAGCTTTTGTTCACGAAATTCCTCGATTTCTTTTTTTTTCGTATTCTAGTTGCCTAGACGCGTCGAAAAACCGTTTCTGCATTCCGCTTGCAACGGTCTCATACGACTGTGTATATGCCCCAATGCCAGAGTACCGTTATTATAATAGCATATAGTCTGCCCAGACGCATAATTGGTCAGCGGGTCGCTACATTAAGCTCCTTTTTCTCTCACCAAAACGTTTCATATGTTTTGATATTTTTCAATAAATGAAGAACATTTAGAAATTTTTCATTGTCCAGTTGCTTTTCATAGCGACGGACATTATCATAATATTTTTTAGCTTTAATTTCTTGACAGCTTGTTCGTGAATTCATTCGCTGACATATTTATTATAGCCTATTTTATTTTTATGCACACTCGAAATAACTTCTTCTTCTCCTTATTTCTTATTCTGCCCGCAAATTATGGAAGTACTTAGTAGTTAATAATAATGTCGATTATAAGATTCACGCAGCACACGTGTCGCGCGCGCGATTTTTCATGCAAAAATTACACGAGTGAATTTTAACATCAACACCTCGGCCGATGTTCGAATGGTAATAAATCTCTCGATACATGGGACTTGCAAATTCGGCGATATTATTATATGCTCATGTAAATCTGATTCAGAGAATTCATCGAACCGCAGCGATCGTTATGACTACACTCACGCTTGCAGATAATCAAATTGAAATGGAAATCTAGCTTATTATACATACGAGCGTAGTAAAATTAGAAGGAGAAAAAACAAACACACGGTTCAGGTTGAACACGATTATTGTATAAATAAAAAAAAAACAAACAAATCGTAAAAACAGAACGAGGACATTTTCAAGCTCACAAGAACGAAGAAGACGCGAGCGCGGGGCCAACTTAATGCCTTGGCGACGCTATACGTTCTAAGCTTCGTCGCGATGATTCACTCCGCGTATATATACCAAAGTACGTATATATACCTGAGGCATGAATAATTGATCGACCACAAGAATAAAAACGAGCCCTCGAGAATATTACTTAGCAAAAGTTTGAAGGAAAAAAAACGAATTGATTTCGATGATAGCTCTAAACTTCGTTGAAAAACTTTTTTTTTACTTTAAAGCTGGAGACGTGGCACTACATAGGCCTGCGAATGCTATATGGTGACAGGCGCGACATTATAATAACGTATTTATGCATATAATATACATATAAACGGGTTATAATCGACGTCGCGCAGTTGACGATTCGCTCTGCGCAGCCCTCGTACGTGTCGATACTTTTAAAATTTTTTCCATAAATAGCCATTGTTCGCGAAATTGTTCAAATAACTCATTTAAACGTGCTTAGGTATTTTTATGGACATTTCTTTCGCGCTTATTTAATTTTAAATGCGAGATTGTTGTATAATATATACCGGTGAGAAGACATTACTTAATTGAGCCGTAATGTGGTCCATCCTCGTATACGTTTTAATGAAATTCTTAATACGCGTAGTTTACACTAGCGCACGCGACTTTGAGCGTAGAAATTTTTTGCGCGAAACCGAGCTTATAAATATTAGCGAGGAATTTACGATCGTCCGGAAAATCGAGATTTCATCGTCGAAGAGCCCTTTGCAAATTATGAATTATTTTAAGGACAGCCAGACGCGAGTCGCTTCTTCGAAAGGCTAATACGCTCCTGGACACTTTCTTAGATCTCATCGTGTTACGTTTGTGGATTGCGCAATTTACGGTCCCTTTAAAGCCCATCGACATTTTATAATATATTTTATAATATACAACAGTAATTTAGTATGAATATATTACTTTCGATCGTTCATTTCGATGCGACGCAATTTTATATACATATGGACATTGGACACTCGTGCGCGAGCGTCTCATCTGCATCGGGCGAAATTTCCGAAAAATCATTTGTATTCCGTCACATTGAGCTGCGAGGTGAGTTACGTATAGTCATGAATTTTTCGTACAATATTTATGTCGAAGAGTGACGATCTTAATCTTTGCGTTAACGCGACGTTAAATACATCGTTAAACCATACCGATTATAATCGAGGCTTGGAAATATTGTCGCTTCGATAGTCCATGGGTAAAATTGACTGCGTCCGAGCACACGTGCAATTGATAACGTGCTCCAAAATCGCAGGGTCCATCCGAAATCACTCGAGGTACAATTTCACAAAAGCTATTGTCAGGTCAAAAGCTTTTTTTTCTAACGATATGCAAGCTAGGCCTGAGACAGCTCACATTGCGTGCAGCAAAACTTTTCTCCGATATAAACGGTAACGTATATCCAAAAGCCGCGTATGTATAAGTAATAACTGCTAGAATTACACGCATATATGAGTATAGTTTTGCGGTGCAACAGCTTACGTATATACGCATATAGCTTTGGGTATTAAGGCTCAAGCCCATGCAAACAGAACGTCAGTCCATGCATAGGCCCAATAAATAGGCGCGATTCAACTTTCTAATAGCCGAGACAAAAGACGCGAGCTCACAATGGCCGATACGATTCTCGACACAGTGCAGCGCGTTTTGCATATATCGTGGACAGTCTGCCCCGAACGTATATTACACATACAGAGAGAGAGAGCAAATGGGCGGTGTCCAGCGAATACAGTGTCGTGCACGTAACATGCCTCTGTGCACCCATCGCGTGTCCTCGCACACATACACAGGCTGCGAGCGCGACACGTATACGGACACACGCGAAAATCTCTAATCCTATAAATATTCATCGGCCCATGCGGTGGACTGCACGTAACATGTGCATTTGCGATTGTGAGCAAGGCTGAGGATCGTCGTCGGTCCCCTGAGCCTCCCTCCCCCTCGCCCGAACTCTATGCCTACATACACGTAGATGTATGTGTGTGCATGTGTGGCCCGTAACATACATTACGAGGATATTCGTTGAATCTAGCAACGGGACCTAGACTCGAGTCTCGGAAGTAGCGAATATTCTTATGGGTATACATGTACATGGACTGACCAGCGTGAAAAATCGTGCGCTTACACATATATAATATCCGCTGGCCGGCCGGACTCTCACGCACGCCCTTTATACGCGTCCACATAGTGTAGGTACGATTGTAAACTTGCCGAATCGGGTTTCCTGTTTTTCGGGCCTCGGACACCAGGAAGAACCTGTTTGTCTCCCTCTCGCTGCTGCGCTGCAGGTACATCGCCCTGCACACATACCCCATACACACACACATACACTTGCACAAGGGGTGATATATTTAATGATCCTATTTTCGAGATTCACGGCTATTGTGCCGTCTCTCGCTGTGTGTGTATATATGCGAGTACAGAGCCCTTACCGGAAGAGAAAAAAGGAGATGGAGAGAGAGAGAGTTAGGAGCAACCGTTTCGGACAGTAGCAGCCCAGCAGCTCTGCACCCCTGTTTTGTTTGCTTTGGCCCGGACGACTGTCTATACAAGTATGCGTGGCTTGCGCGTGCCGTCGGCCCGTTTCGCGATGTCCATTATCGATAAGACCGCACTATACAACACGTACGGGGCCCGACTTTTCACACCCGTTATACCACCGCTATACGGCAACGCGCTAACGTCCAGTGAAAAAGCGATTGAAAGAGTAGAGTACCAAAGCGAAGAAAAGGATCGGGGCTGGCGATAAGCGGCCCAGATTCACTCGAGAGATTAATTTACGGTGACTTCACGATTCTTCTTTTCTTCTACTCTCTCTCTCAATCTCTCTCGCTCTATTCACCCCTATTACTATACGTAGTGTAAACTTGTACTTTATGGCTCTCAAGATCCAAGACCTTCGGCGGGCAGCTAAATCGATTTCGCTCATTACCCTTTTTCTCTCTCGCTGTGTAGCCGGAAATCGAATGGTCTTTTTTCTTAACCGATAGCCCACCCAACCCGATACGGCGAGCTTGATGGCTCTGCGTTATTTTCCATCTGACAATCGATAAGAGGGAAAATTATAAGAAATATTTTAAAGGGACGTAGAGGAAGAATAAGCCCGCATATTCGAGCGGATAATCTAAGATTTCGTGTGGGCATTATACAAAGTCGAGAAAACTTTTGCAGCTTTTCATTTGAATTTCAAATGTATTACACCCTATTTACGAATCCGATGTATACGTATACACTCGGATCTAGGAAGAAGCATTGATATCTTTTGATTCGCCGAATGAAAATGTACACAGAGTCTCACCAGTTCAACTTTTATGTATGAATACATATATTTACCCTCGAACAATAGTCCGGTTCTTTGTTTTACGGTTCCGGGCATCGTCGAGAAACACCATTGGAAGAATGGGTTTAGTACGTCGTAAAAATTCCGGTTCAATTACGGCTCTTCCTTCCTCGCTGCGGGTCGCGCGTCTCCTAGATCGAGTCGAGTACCTATACCGCATCACATGTATATATACTTGTACGCGAGACGCGCACTCGCGCGATATGGAACGAAATTCCTCGCTCTATGATGCCTGCCCATGATGTGTATAACAAATAGTGCCGGTCATGTACAAGATCAGCAGCAGTAGCAGCAGCTGCCGCCGCGCATATAACGTCGTTAAAAAATGTACAAAGATTAAGCTTTCGTACTTAAATTCGACAACGGGTTTTGTCGACCAAGAGATTTCGATACTAACGATGCTTCGCGCGCGCATCGGGCCCAGTTTCCTATATGACATTTGTCAGGCGTCAAAAATTAAGAATGATTAATAGAACTTGACTCAGGCACTGGTCATAAGCTCTTGCACCGCGTCGTCTTCCAGCGGATATAGATGGAGAAAAAAATTGTTCGCATCGCCGCATATCTTATACGCTCCACTGTACCTTGAGTAGTTTTTCAGGCGTAAAAAGTACGTGTATACGCCATTTCCCACATGGGACGGAATGGACACGGCGGCTACTCTCCTGTATATATATGTATGCATGCTCGTACTAAACGCTGTATGCGCAACACAGCAACGAAGGGCCTTCTCGAAGACACTAAATTAATGGGGTGTCCGTATAATCGCTTGAGAAAAGGTCAAGAGAATTCGAGAGACGGGGCCTACTTTGCAGCTACGTAATAAGCCTCGCACTGTCCACTGCTGCACATCTCTCGTTATTGTATTCAACATATTTATCAACTTTTTCGACGAGTCACCTTGCCTCGTTATAACTTTTTAGCATTATGAATTTTGTCAATTTCCCACTAACTTCTTTCACGTCGCTCATAAAACGAAACGCGCTGAATAGGCGGCAAAAACACTCGCTTTGATGCCTCGTATAATTAGCCTCGCTGCAACTCGAGGTCGCGTACGAGATAAACTCTCGGAAGCCTCGATCCCTGTACGGGTGCGATTGTCTTTTTCTCTGGCCGCGGGCGACTCTTGTGTACACACATTTACGGCGCAAATGACTATAGCAAAGACAGCTTGCAGGGGAATGCCGATGATTCGAGTGCGTGTCAAATTTAGCAAGGCTACCTTACACACTGCAGCATGTGGAAACCCGCGGGCGCAGGCAGCGGCTTTTCATATTCCCCATGTGGTGTTTGTGTATTGCATAGAGAGTCTCCCGCGCGTCACATTTACCATAGAATAAGCATGTCTTATTTTAAGAGCTCATGAAAGTGTAGTGCGCCAAGAAGATTAAAAAGTTAGGTAAATTTATACGAGCAGGTGTCAAATATTTATTAGAATATGCTTAACAGTGGATAAAAAATTGTCATCCTTTAAAGTGTCACACTGTTAATGAAAGAATTTAAAAAACTTGAACCCAACTACGTCAATATGGTTTGGATGGATTTGAATTTCAGGTAGAAAGAAAACAGGAATAAAAAAATGAAAAATCTTGCCGCTTCTTACATACAGCCCAAAAGCGGCAGCCCCAAACGAAATGAAAAGCAATCGAGAAAACTCGTAAAAAGAAAGCTCATCGTGTCTGTATGCCCGTATACATAAGCAGAAAAGTGCGTGTGCACACAGTAGCAGCAGCAGCAGCAGCAGCAGCAGCAGCAGCGGCAGCAGAGCTCATATTATTATATAGGCGTCGAGGTCTCGGGTAAAGTAAGACTCGCGCGCTTGGCAAGTTAAGCCCCGGCGGAAGATATATGGCGGGCCGTTTGAAGCCCGAGAGTGAGAAAAGAGCGAGGGACTAAGCTATGTAGCGTTGGTTCACGCGCTGGCAAAACTATATACGTATACGATAGCAACCCTTGGACACGTTCACGTATACGTTCATCCTCTCTATACGTGTATGAGTGTGTGTGTGTGTGTGTGTGTGTGTGTGTATACGACTGTATTGCGCGCGGCGTTTATTAAGCGAATCAGTGTTATCGCGCGCGCGGCGAGAGCCCTCATGAATAAGGCATCGAGAGTCCGCCCTTGTATATGTATACACAGCCAAAGCTCGGGTGAGCAGTGGCACCCCGCGGGCTCCATCTCTCTCTCTCTCTCTCTCTCTCTCGCTATATTGTTTTCTTGATGAGCTCAAGCTCGCAAGCGATGATGTGCCTCGCGCGCATATATATACCCGACCGTTTCGTTTATATGCACTGCTCCTATATATACTTTACTTGCTCCTCGACGCTTTCCTACGATTTTGTCACATTGTATAAAATTATATACATATGTACTATCGAGTTTCCCTTTTTTTCATATTATACATGTGCAGCGCAGATTTTTTTATACGTAGTCGATGCCGTTGATGGTCGAGCCGTGCCGATCGAGAGAAGGAAATTCTGTTAGCTTGGAGAGGCTTACGCGATAAATTGCCCGAGTCGAAATTGTCAGTCCGAGATGTATGTAGACCTCGGCTTTCTCGGACTAACCCAGTATAAGATAATGTTTATTCAATTTATTATATTTTGTTCTTGATATTATTTATTTTATTTGGAGTAGTATTTAAATTCAACCCTTGATTACAAAATATATTTTCAATTTTCGATCTATATAAATGTTTAGATCAATTAAAAGCCTTCGAAATGCAGTGATTTTTTTCAACTTATTTGCTGTATTTCCTTCATTAGTAAAATTTAGATAGCACGAAACTAACGATGCAAATTTAATCAAACTCAATAATAACAAACACAAAAAATTGATAATTTCCAGCCACTTTATAATAAATCGAAAACGAAATAATCTTAAAAATTTTAATTTGCTTATTAACGAAACTCCTAATCAACGTTAGCCCAATTAAGTAATTGCACCCATTGTCGGAAAATACGTGACGCGCACTAGATCAACTCTCTTTGCAGCAGTGCCCGCAGTTTAAGGCGCTGAGCTTGACCTATAGCAGGTCACCGTCGCTCCACAAGTATATCGCGGTGGCTTACAACACACTCGGCACAATGCACAATAAAGGCAAAGCACACGTGAAAACATTCGGGCGCACCGCACACGTCTCTCGTGTCCTCGCGGCGCACATACAAATGTACATAAGTATAGCGTTATTACGTCGAGCAGGCATGTGTTACGTAGCAGGTAAAAAAGGAAACGAGGAGAAAAAAACTCGCCCGTCTCGTAGAGTTAGCCGCGCTACGTATGAGCGCTAGGTACGCGACAACCCCCCGAAAGTGCAATGTCTATGCGTGCAAGGGTAGCGCGAGGAAGGAAGGAAGGAAGGATAGGCCGCCCGAGAGTGGACGAGGCCGGGGTAGAGGGGGTGACAGCGCGATAAGGCCTCCTGCGAAAGGTACAGAGAGAAATGACACTTGGAGCCCTTGCCGAAGGTCGCCTCGGCTCGCCAGTCACGTTCTGGACATCGTCCTCGGAACACCGACTGCTCTGCTCCGCTCGAGCCTCGCACACTAAGCGCTACATTCTGCACTGTTCATGTTCACCAAGTAACAGTGTTCAGTTCCGATACCGTACGCAGCAATAACCAATCAGCTGTTTGTGCCCTTCGGTTTTGTGTGGTGTCCACGCGTGTTGTTATTGTTGTTGTGCTGTGCTTTCCAAGTGATTGCGCGAATGAAGTTGTTGTTCAAGCTCTCTGTTTTCAAAGTTTTTTTGGAAGTGAATTGACGACGACGACGCACGACGTGCAGTGTCCACTGCTGTTCCCAAGAAAAGATCGACGTTTTTCTCTTTAATTTTAATTTTTAAGAAATTTTTTCTTTCTTGTTTAGCGAGCTATTTCATTCGGTTTTTTAATTGTTGAAAAATTAATATCATTGAGCTTGCTATCGATTCATATTAAATACCTTGACGAATGAAATTGCTCTTGTAACTTTTCTAAAAAAACAAAAACAGAATTAACACAGATTTTATTCTTTCTTTCAAATTAAATAGAAACTCTTAATATAATTTTTTTATTCATAAGATTTTATTTCATTTTTTTCAAGTCTTATTATTACCCGATACGACAAAATGGTTATCCATTAGGTTAGAAAAAAGTCTATGATAGGGGATACATAACTCAACGAGCTCGCCATATAATATGCCAACTTTGGATCTCGCGCTTACGAGCCGTTCGGCATCGCGGAGGACCACGAGTCCTTCGAAGCGTTTCTGAGTTATGTGGCGGATTCAGACCCATCATCATCACCACCCATTGCACTTTCAGCAGGATACCAGGATACATCATCCGACGGCAGTGTTTTTGTATAACGGTACATGTGGATTGGCAAAAATTCTTATCGACGAATACATTGTTACTCGCGTATTATTTGAAAAATTAATGGTTGATATTTTTAAACCTACCAAATGTATAAATTAAATAATACGTAATAACATCTTCACGTGAACCGCGATACACGTGGTCGATGAAATGCAAAATCTCATGGCTCGTAAAAAAATGTATCGTGCTTTTAAAAACAGAGTGCCCGAAATAATTCACCACAAGTGTTGAGCGTTTCGCGCAGGCTTCTATGGTATTTATGATTCGTTGTCGACGCGATGCATACCGAGAAAGCGCGCGCGATCGATCGTTCTTTTCTCGTTGATCTATTGCGAGAGTAGCTTCGAAAACTACATTTTTTCTCTGTACCAAGAAATGCCAATTTCTTCATGCAAGATCAGTGGATGAATATACACTTTGTAGAATGAGTCATCCCATCTCTTTGCTCCGTTAGCTTGACTAGATTATAAAAAAAAAAATATGTCAAAGTCTACTGCTGGGTATGTTGTGATCGTGCGAACAGCAAAAACAGCAATAAATTAAGTAATTATACACGAGCCTCACGTCTTATTTCGCACAAATGAGCAATCATAAAGAAGTAATATTCGAATTCTCGTCGTATATCCCGAAATGATATAATGTCGAATTGGCGTTGAGCCGATGGACTTGGCAGCGCGAGACTTTGAATACTGCACAGGCGCTTTAACGCAGGTACCCCCCTCGTGGCGCGCCGTCCTATATACCATAGCTTCGATATACGTGTATATCGTGCGTTTGCTGAATTCCCTCTCTCTCGTCTTTCGCCAGAACGGCTCAACCTTCTACATCGCACGAGTCCACTGATTGGAGGAGGCGTCGGCGGCGGGCAGTCTCCGCATCATCACCTTCACAGTAACCACCTCCACCAGCAGCAACAGCAGCAACAGCCATCGTCGCCGGCTCAGCGCCAGCAGCAGCAACAACAGCAGCAGCAGCAGCGGCAGTCCCCGTCGCAGACGCAACAACTCGGGGGTGGTCAGGTGCAGCTCTGGCAGTTCCTCTTGGAGCTGCTAGCCGATTCGTCGAACGCGTCCTGCATCGCGTGGGAGGGCTCCAACGGCGAGTTCAAGCTCACCGATCCGGACGAGGTGGCCAGGCGCTGGGGCGAGCGCAAGTCCAAGCCCAACATGAACTACGACAAGCTTTCGCGCGCGCTAAGGTTCCTTGCTGTCTACTTATTTTAGAGTATATAAAAAAATCGGATGAAAAAATAAATTTATAATCTCGTGTCCTTCTTTGCAGGTATTATTATGACAAAAACATCATGACCAAAGTCCACGGCAAGCGCTACGCTTACAAGTTTGATTTCCACGGCCTGATGACGGCCTGCCAGATACAGTCCGGTTCACCGCTCGACGCGACGGTTCTCGTTGGGCCACGAGCGGCCACGAGCTACGCCCAACACTCGGCTCTCTACGCGCCGCATCATCATCATCATCATCATCATCATCCTCCTACGACCCTTCAACCCACCGCGGCTGCGACGGCAGCTCTGCACCCGGTGCACATCGTGCCGACTCGAGCTCTATCCAGTCCGCCCCCTGCTCCTGCACATCACTTCTGGCCGTACAGATACTCGCCCCCTAAATAGCTGCTGTACATTTTTTTCATGAGCAGTGAAATTGTAAATATTATGTAGTACGCGAGGACAAAAGCTTTGAAGCTCTTGGTCTTTCGCGAGACAGGAATAGTTTTGTTTTGATGGAATTTTTCAATCGAGCGATGATTCGATCTGATATATTCAAGATAGATTCGAGTTCATCGTAGTTGATGTTTGTGTGATATTAAATAGCGTTTTGTTTTCGTAGATTTTCATGTACACTCTTAATTTACTAAAAAAATAATATTTAGGTTTGATTTTTTTATGCGCACGCGAAAGGTCTTTTTACCGATATTGCGAAAAGACAGAAAAAAAACGCTTTTTCAAGTACAAAGATATGATAGTTTAACCGAAGTACCTTTTGATATTCATCATCCATTGACAATATACAATACTAAATAATTCATGTAAATTTTAATCTGTACATAATATATGAACAAGCGTAAATAATGCGGTTAAGTAGTAAGTTATGCAGTTGTTTGTATTTTGAACGGTATTCAACAACTTTTATCGATGCAAATAAGTGTTTAACAATTATCTGCATAATAAATTAAAATTCATTCGATTTTTTGAATAACTTAACCATTTTTTTCAGTACATTTGAATCGTTGAAAGTCAAATTAAGAATCAATCAAAGAATATTTTTATTTTTCAATGTGTTGTAGTCCGAAATTGGCTAAAATAATCTTACAATTTATTGTGTTTAAAAGTCTTTATTTAGAATAATGGTTTTAATTTTTCGTTATGAAATTTTTTCAGAGTGTTCGATGAAAAGTTATTTATATAGTCCATAAATTAAATATGTTTTAAATTGATTTTCCAATGGTTTAATTAAATTTGTTGCAAAAACTTTGTTTTATTAATAAAGTTAAAATATTAATGTTCTTGAACGCAGCAAGCACTTATAACTAAGAAATATAAAAATTAATAATGTATGCGTAATTTTGAAGAATTTTTTATTCAAGATGTGATATTTTCATGTAAAAGAATGACTGTAAAATTTGATCCATAGGATTTTTCAAAATTGAATATGCATGTTTCAAAAATGTATTGCCATTATAAGTTGTATACTTTATTAAAATTGATACAAGTATAAAAATAAGTAAATTCTCCAAGTTGAAAATTGTATTTAGACAGTTGTACTTATCAGTTAAGTTTATTGTAGTCTACGCCATATTGTCATCCCGAATGCGGTCACATTTTTATTGTAAATAATACATTGCGTGCTATGATTAATATAAATATAATGAAGTTTGTCTGTTCATTTCACATACTCATGTAAATACAAAAAAAATGTAGAAAAAATGTGGCTTCACTCGTAGTAATCTAACATAATCACGTTCATACAAGTTATAAATCAACTACGTCTTTTTCATGCAAAAAATAAATAATTTCTACAATTTGTTAATATTGTAAATTTGCTTGGTTATTTTTATCTATGAAAACTTGTTATACAATAAAAAATGATCATCTTTTTTTTAAATAATTGATTCGTTTCATTCACAGTGTAGCTGTCTTTAAGTATTTTTTTCTAGTAAGATCGAATTTTTACAGAGTTTCGGAACAAATGATGCAAATTGATCACTGTATTAACCTACGGTGTTTTTGACAATAGATTTTGAATTTATGATGGTATTGTAATAAGTAATTGTAATGAGCTCTTTTCTTAGCCCAGTACTTCTATAATTAAATCAACGTACAGTTGTCTCATATCTTTTAGCGTAGTGTCAAGCGAGAAGTTTACATAAAATAAATTAACATTCATATCTCATAATGCACACTATCCGATTTAGTATTAAATCTATGGTTTACAACTGTTGTTTTTTACTGCTTATCGTTGAGGGCGGCAGTCGCTGTGGCCGACGGTGACGTTTCTCAGCACACAGCCTGTTGGGCGGCAGGACCCATTGAGGATGTTATATCTGTTGAAGACGCCAAAGATATCAGAGCTGTTGTTCAATCCAGTTGCACCACCCACGACACTTGAACATAATCGAGAGCCCTTGTACTTTTCACTCGGTTATTATAAATGCGATCGCTCAGAGCTACGCTTATGACAATAGTTGGAAGTCTGATGATTCCCAGGCATAGCTCCGTCGTACTCAACTGTAATATCCGATCTGCCTCGAGCTTAGTTGTTGCTCAGCTTATATACTTTCAGTTTCAATCTTATGCGTCAACATCTTTCACCCTTGTTTACTGAAAAGCAGAGGAAAGCGCATGTCGCTATTTTCGTGGATTCGCCGAATTATGATGCACATTTTTGGGTTTAAGATTATTGTTGTTTATTTTCAATGTCGTTTGACGCATGTTTATGCCTTTGAATATTTTTTCTTTGCAGTCATTCATTTACCCGGACTCTTGCACATAATGCTCATATTCATTTCATTACGTACATTATCAATTCAACATACTTGTGCATATACTTATACCAAGCTGCGCTCGCTTATGCGTGCGAGCAGTCATACAGAGTCACCCTTGATAATAGTGTGCCCATTCATGCTGCTTCGTTCTTATATGAGCGTATGAGATGTACAATTCTGTACGCTACCTGCGACGCGTATTTCTTGCTAGGGTGTTTATGATGTATAGATCACAGTATCAATTAAGGTCAGCAGATTTCAACTTGAATTTTGATTTAATTTATTCAAAATAATTAAAATGAAATTTGTCAAAAGTAGATAAATTCTGTTTCCTTTTTACATTTTTGAATTGTCAATGAAGAGACTGTCGACTGATTTGATCCAGGTGAAAAATTTTTCTTACATCTTGGTGTTGAAGAAATGAAGAAATATCAACAACATGACAGAAAATTGCATAATGTTCTCGTCGTGCTAACTTCTGCCTAAAATTATAGGAAAATATATTATTGGTTAGCTGACTTATTTGTTTTAATTTTTTGCTTTACACTACTTGTAAATTTAATGGATCGCAAAAACATACGAATTTATTGAAAAAAAGATTAAATCTGTAAATAATGATGTTTGAATGAATATCGCATTTATTTTTACTATTTATACTATTACAGTCTTTTATTACAAGACTTTCAGTTTGATTTCCATCTACATATGTTTCGATCAATCTCAAGCTGTCATTGTGATAATAATGTGTTGTGGTCATAGCTGACAATTCAAATTCAATTTATTAGATATTAAAGCCAACTAGTGTTGAGTATAATATTTGTTGAATGTTACATAATTTATTAGTAATGATATGAATTTTCGTGCTTATATTCACGTTATATATTGAGTTATATATCAATATCACGTAATAAAAAATATTAAAATAAATATAATAATTATGTTGTTCTATGCTTACCCTCGTCTTTTCTTTTTTTATTCTTATCATCAAAATACCATTCAACTCAATAAGCTCGTGCTCAATTTTTATTACGGGCGATAATGATCATTGCGGTCGCACAGGTTCAACTTACAGAATTTTGTATACCTCATGTAGATTTACAGAATGGGTTTATTCATATAAGTAACTTATTCTACATGTGTAATGTTTTACATTTTTTAAACTCAGCTGTATTTCGCTTTAAATTTGAATCAGTCAGGTACTAAAATGGTAACAATTACCTATTTTATATAAAAATCGTGACAGAGAATTGTTACAATAATCAATGTTAACAGCAGTTTTTATAAATTTTAAATTCTAAGATATAACTCAGATTAATATAAATTTACTATTTACACCTAAACGCTGTACAACGATGTACAAATTTCAACGTACAAAATGCAATTTTTAGAAAATTCCTCGTTACAAACACATGGTGTCCCATTAATTATAGAGTTGGAAAATTTCAGATAATTTGTCAAATAAGAGGACTAAACTAAATCTTCAATTAAGAAAAAATTAATTTAAGAATAATTCGATTTGGCACATTCAGTTATGCGTGACACAACTATGCGCACACCAAAAAATTAAGCGGGAAAATTGTATTTTCCTTAAAACAGATGTTTTAAACCAATCCCCTAGTTTTAAGTATTGTAAAAATAAATTAACAATTAAGAACGACGCGAATTAGCACGGTTGACGCAACGACAAGTGCATGATCTCGCGAGAGAAAGGCGGGACAGCTCGAGATGTACAGTTGTATGTAAACTCGTGTATATGTGCAAAGCGCATTAGGAGAAAGCGTGACACGCGCGCACGAGATGAAACCCGCGGCGGATGACGCAAATTCGGCGAATATGAGGAAGAAACATAGTCGCACACGCGCTCGCAAGTTCCCTTATCACCGGGAGATTGACCTGTGTGTCACTAGGGTCCCAGCCCGACCCGAGCTCCGAAAAGAACTTGCCCAAATACGGGTAAATAGAACGGCACATGCTTGACCCGCGGACGCGGATCAACAAGCGACGAAAAAACAAGTAGTTTATCTATTAAGGAAAAAACCACCAAGATGTGCTCCCGCCGAGAAGATGCATGAATAAATTAGTATAAAACCGGCGTAAAAATCGGGCCTCTGGGCAGATCAGTTACTGTTATTGAGTAGAGCGAAGCTCTGGGCAGATAATTCCATACCGTCGAGTAAGGCGAAGCTCTGTGCGCGAACGATTGAAATATTATAATAGAGACTCCGAGATTCATTGAACATCGAATAAAATATACTTGTATTTTGCGGGAAGTAGTAAAGAATTGTTAACAACGCACTGGCTCAATTGTAACCGTAATTATACGGCGGCGAGTATCGAAGCGACTTATTGTTTAACGCGAACGGTAAAGCTCGTGAGGGTGCATTCGAGCTTGCACCAGCCAAGCCGCCATGACCATCGGCCAAGCAGCAACCTAGCCGCAGCTAAGCAGCAGCCAAGCAGCAGACTCCACCAGCCGTTTGACTCAACAGACCGACAGACACCTCCAGCATCAAGATCGACGATCATCTGCCGACGTAGCTTGTAAGCCTTGTTGAAATAGTATTAAGTTATTATATTTGTAATAAAGTCTTGTGTGTGAACCACATTCGAGCATTATACATTTATTTCATGTTCCTCCCCTCAGACAGCAACGCGAGCATAAAAATTAGGCCTCTGGGCAGATCATTATATACAGTCGAGTAAGGCGAAGCTCTGTGCGCGCGACTAATCGAATCATTGTAATAGCGACTCCGCGATATTTAACAGACTTGTAATAGAACACGCATAACGAGTAACTACGAATTGCATGTATTGTATTTATCGAGAAGCAATAACAAGCTATTAACAGCGACTAGCTTTGTAATTGTAATTATATACGGCGCGAGCGTCGAAGTGCCATGGTCACGTGGGCACACTCGCACCCCCCGAGGAAACTAATGGGGTAGAACAACATCAAGAAAGCAGCGACAGTGAATCAGACTCAGACGAATCTATAGAGGTCCAGGTTGTACAAACACCGAGAAACTATTTTTATTTTGAAAATAATGAATGGATGTCGGTGACAATGAACAATGGGCGAGTGATCGTGACAGCCGATGGTGTATTGAAGGCAAATTACGACCGAAATATAACAATTGAGCAATAATTCGACGAATTACTGATATGCGCTTTCCTCTGCTTTTCAGTAAACAAGGGGGCGAGAGCATATTGAAAACATGTTGACGAAAGTATGAAAAATTGGAGAGTATATAAAGAAGCTACTGAGCTACAATAGGGAGTGTAATGACCCAGTCACAAGGGTCATAGCATCCCTACGGCCACGAGTAGATAAAACACCGGGGCGGCAAATCAGCCCGGTGCAACACCAAGTCCCGAACGGGCATGCTAGTGTACGGCCGCACA